CATTTACATTTTGCGAAATCCACTTACAGTTGCGGAATCGAGAACAACTAGCTATCTTTGCTTGTTGCGGAATCCGCAGCAAATCAAATCTGCCGACACAATTTACGTTACAAGCATATGTACGCGGAATCCACGTAAATCTTTTAAGTGGAACCCACTTGCATTTTGGAACATGTTTAAATGCTTGTCTCTGGAATCCAGGAACATGCAGACCAAAATTGTGCGCCTATCCAGTGCACAGTTTGGCCTCGTAATGTTTTAAACTTATTAATAGCAAATAATTATGTTTTCTTATTGATGCACCTAAAGAAGGTTGATACTTTTGATGTAATCAAAGTACTACGAAGTTGCCTAAAACCGCCCAGAAATTGCCTAAGTTGCCTAAAACCGCGAACAAATTTGATTCTGTTTGAACCAATGTATATTGATTTGAACAGATTTCAAAAAACTCAAAAAAGTGAAAAAACTGAAATGCCCAATGATATCGATAGTGGAGCTGGCCATCTGATTTTGGAAGACTCTTATCCGACAATGCTGCTACTTGCAGAGCTCCTCGTGATAAGATGCGAGCTGGTAGAACGCTTACGCTTCGATAAAATAAAAGAATTGTTAGGTGAACTAGCTCGGAAGTCAGTGTTGCAATGTGTTTCATTTCGAGATGTTTGGCAAATGAAAACAATGAAGGATAAAGAAGGATAAAGATAATGTTCAATTTATTCTTAGTTTTTGTCATTTTGTTGAATGTAAAGTATAGTTTGTTCAAAATGTTTTTATTTTGCCCAGAAGTTTAATTCAAAATAATCATTGTTCAACTTGGTGTTACTTTTGTCAGATATGGAGTTGAAAAGGTTATTTATAGAAAATTAGAATTCGTGGTATTTTACGCTGGAACCATCTCGCCTAATATAAAACATCAGCAAGTCGATTGGTCCTTTGAACATGTTAACAGATACAAAACTTCTCAGTTGTTACTTTGCATTGCGCATGAAAATAAAAAAAAATTAAGAAAAATTTTGTTTTTCTCATTATTGCGTCTTTGTGTGAACGAAAACTTTTATCTCAATGTAGACTTCAAAATTGGGACTTTCAAAGAAATAACGGACTTTTTTGGCGCCATAATTTTTCTTTCCAATCATAAGTCCAATTGTAAGCTTTTTTTGGCAAGATTATTTAATTTTACTTGAAAATTACTAATGTCGTGACCTCAAGCTTCAAAAAATATATTCATTTCTAATTGTTCTTTGAAAGTTACCGATTTGAGCTTTGATAGTATGGACAAATTGAGATAATATAGCTTGACGTACTTGTTTACGCACGACCAAATATTTGATCTAGAATCAATTGAAAAAAAAACTTAAACAATATTTTTGATCTGTAAATATGGCAAAAGCGGCAAACAAAATACGCAAATAGTAAAAAAGCATTAAAAAAATGACCAAATGTAAAAAAAAATTTCAGATTCATAAGAAATAAGCAGTAATTTTTGATAAAATTATTTCAATTTGATTTATATTTGTAATTTTATTCCAAATTTAATTTTGAAATTAAATCTTAAGTTTAAAATGGTGTTATGATCATTTTTATATTTAAATCTTCGAGACTATTGTTTTTGATCTATTTGGATGCTTATGACAACACCGACTCTTGGCTGTTTTTTATGCTCATTTTCTGGTTTTATAAAGGGTAGCGTTTGAGGGGCTGTCTAGGGTAGCATTACTTGGTATTGAAGTCCAATCGTGAGGCTCAGCTTTAAAACTAAATTGAACGAGTTAAGAAAAAAGTGAGAATCAAAAATTACAGTTTCGATCTGAAACTTTACAGTAGTTTGTGTTCGAACATCTTCAGTGCAGAGACCAGGTAATTTCAGTGCCGAGAGCAACAAATAATTTATGTTTTCAGGAATTTTGGTCGAAACAAACCCATCAAAATTACGTTCTCCAATTACTTCTTGTAATGTGCCCAAAAAAGCTTGAGTTACTAAAATCAAAAGTGGGTTTGAATTTTAACATTTCCAGCAATTTACAACAGAGATTGGGCCAGTTTTCGTTGAATTGGTTAAATTATGATTACAATGTCATTCATAGACGAGTACGTAAGCTCCCAAAACTTTAATTTAATTTGGGCTCTTCTCAAAAAATCTGGACAATTGGAAATAGGTTTCCAGAAAATCCTTTATTTTCTGTCAATGTCTGTGGGCTTCTAACAATGTCTGTTGGCTAGTGGTGCGAAGTTTTGCGGTGCAGCTTTAATGATGAATGAAACACGACACCCTTTAAAAAATCAACATAAAAGAAGCCTTTAAGATTTTCCACTTTCTTGAAAAAAAATTATTTGTTTGTAGCAAAAATCTACAGGTTTTTTTGCTGCACTGAAACTGAAAACTAGTATGGTCAGTTACGCTTATTTTTTTTGTAATAAGATACCAAAAAACGTTGCAACCGCCGCGAAATATACTAATGCAAACTGAGTATTATTTCATATCATTTCATAGACCAAAAGAATATATATGAAAATAGCAAAATAAGCACTTTTTCCCTACTACCAAATTTCCATACAACGAAATTGCAAAAAAATTCTGATAAATATCAATTACAAAATAAAACTTCGCAAAAACAACTCGATACGTGCCGAGACTAAAAAAAACTTTGAATTGTTTTAAGAAAAAAAAACAAATTCTTAGGTTTTTTAGTGCACTGACCAGACTCACTGCTCATCTCTGGTTACAAATCAAAAGGTAACTTTCCGATAACAAAGCTGAAAATTCAAAAATTTAATAAGCTACTAACGGCGTAACTTAAAATATCAAAAACTGCTTCGTGAGGATGAAATTTCAGGACTTTTAGTCGGAATTGACCTAACTCAAAATTACGTTTTCCATAATTTAAAATTTAATGGCTCGAAAAAACTTGAATTACTAATATCGAACCTGTTTGAACTTTTATTTTACCGTCGGGTTAAAAAAAGATTGAGCCAGATTTCTCTAAATGGGTTGGTTAATTCATACATAGACTGTCAATCAAAGAACAATAAGTAAGCTCCGAGAACTTCAACTAAACATAGGTTGTTCACAAAAAAAAATTAACGATTTAGTTGTAAATTGTTTCCAACAATTCTTTTTTTTTGTTTTTTTGTTTTCGCTTTCAAGGAAAGAAATTCATTTTTATCTACAATTGAAAGCTGGTATAATCAATCGTGCGTCTTTTTAATAAAAATTTAAGAAGTTAAACGCGCAAATTTAAAATATTGTATGGTAAAAATAAACGTTAAACTTCGAGTGAATTTTGTTTCAGCAAGGATTTTTTAAAATCAATGCTATATTTTTAAAACCAAACCGAATTGTTGAATGTCTAACTTTGCTTTACGATTCGTTTTGCTGTTATTTTAAGTAGCAAAAAATATTTAAAGAAATCTTATTTTTTCTGCGACGTTAACTTTCAGAAATGTATAAATAATTTACATTTTGCTCTCAAAATTGTTCTTCAGGACTGTGTTTTCCCGGAAATTCTCGAAAACTCAAATTAATTTCTTAACGAAATTCAACTAAATAAAAAAACGGATAAAATCTAGCAATCGCTCTCGACTGAAGCAAAATTTGGTCAGGTTAAGTAGTATAGTAAACTGCCCTCGCTCCAACCTCCCACTCCTACTACAGCAGAAGTCAGCACCACGGAAAAACTTAAAACGCACTTAGGGGTACCAGTTGAAAAAAAATTCAAGTTAAGCCCAAAGTACTCAGCCTTTTATATGGAGGTGACTATAGGTTTAAAGGAAAAAAAATTAATTTAGTCCTATTATGGGAATAATTTGTATGCGTTTGTTTGAAATTGGTTTTCAAAATTTGTCGGTTATGAAATACCAAATATTGTATTGGTTGTAAGCAGATTTACCTTGCGCTTTCCTTTATCTATTTTAACAAGTAGTATACCCAAATCGAAGAAACTGAGTTTTCTGGCAAAATTTCGTTGTATAAAACAAATGACATGAAGCGAAAACGAACACAAACGCAAAATGTTGAAATTTTTCAGGACCGACTGTAAATGTTAGAAAAACTTTCTAGCGTTTTTTAGCCGCGGAAGAGATAAATTGAGCTGTTCTGATTTGAGTTTTATAAAAGTGGGCATCTGAACATTCGTTTGGATTATTGAGCCAAATTTGGAACACAGCACAAGGAATCAGCTCAAATAAGTTGGAGCTTTAAAACAAATTCTTCTGTAAAAAGCACACACACACACACACACACACACACACACACACACACACAAACAGCTCACATGCACACACACACATTGAGACGCACACTCCTTTAGACGCGCACACACAGAGAAACACACACTCACAAACACACACACATACAAACTTCTTTCTCATACTACATTCGCAGATTACAGAAAGTTCAAAAGATAAAAAATAGCCAATCGAAGATTGGAAAAGAGTAATGAATGCAAGTGAACAAAAAAATACAAATTTCAAAATTTTAAATTTCAAAAACAATTTATGATTGGCGCTTTTTTGATAACTTGAACCCACCTAGAGAAAACTGGATCAAAAGTTAAATTAAATTACACTTTCGAAACCAGAAAGCGTTCACGTTTTTTTGCGCTATTTCTACGTTGTATTTGGAGAGTGCTATTTACGTCACTTTCAGCGCATGAATTTCAATTGAACTCAAAAAGTGCATATATACCTAAATGCATTCATAAAGGCATTAATATGTATGAATCCACATCTGTAGTTATTAGAACATTTTAATTTTTTTCATATATAAGAGACTTCAGTACGTTCATTACTGTTAAAAAACTTCATTTTCAAGTTTTAATTGATTCACCTCATATGCACTGTTTTAAATAGATCGCGTCTAGAGTGGAAATCTTGCAACAAGAGAAATTGAAGCAATTCAGCTGAAAGTATTCAATTTCCTTCCAAATTTATTTGGAAGCAAGTGACTGTAGTGAAAATTTTCCTGGAAAAAAAATCTTATTCCCGATTATAAGACAATTCGTTTTTCGCATGTTAAAAAACTTTCTAGATTTGATCTAAATTTGGACTTCTCTGAAACTCCATGTTAAGTTATAAAGCTGGTTAAACTATGCTTTATGTATGGAGGAAAAACATCAAAATATGCATTTATTAATTTTTCAATGGTAGTTTCACTTACGCTAATTAATATATTTTCCATGAAGTGATTTAAAAGACAACTGAATATACAGCGTCCGGTCTTAATATTAGCTACACCAAAGCAATGGCTTGCATGTATATTTATTTATCATAATCGACTAATTGTGAAAAATTAAATTAAATACAGCTACAGTTTAAGTTGTTTCAGTTATTTGGCTATTTCAAAGCTGTGATACTTGATAAACGTGGACTCATTTTCAACATTTTCCGAATTTAAGACCTCTTTTAACCCGCAGTCAAATCGAAAAGTACGGGGAACTTTCTTTCTTGCGGGTCAAATTGTCGTTATAGAAAGTCGTTAGGGTCTGAAGGTGATTTTTCCCGAACGGGCCTTGTCGGTCGTAAACTGTTCAAACATGGCAGCGGTCTTAGTGTGTACGAACTTGATTCTTCCGTTCGACTTGATACACATGCACTATTATTATTTGCAACTGTTCTAGGGGTGCAATTATCACAATTCTCTAAGTATCTAGGGGTTAATGCTCCTAATCTTGTGGCTGATGATAAGTCACTACTTGAACAAATCGAACTATCACAAACACCTCCTCTACAGGTCACAAAACTGTTCGTTCTAGACCTTGATTCGTCAACGTTTCTAGGAGTCGTCAATACTGTGTGTCTGTGCGTCGACTGATTTGATAAACAATAAACTTTTGACATTGTAGAATCGACTTGAGACATTTGACTAGAACATGACATCAAACCACTTGTATCTTTTGGACTCCTGTATGTATTGAGTCTTTCGTCCAGTGGCTTTGAGATTCCGTTTGTTTTTATGGCTGCCAATCGGGCTGTTTCGTTGTCTTGGATCTGAACAGATACCATCGAAACCCTGCCGCGCCTAGGAGTCGAGCAAGCACTGTCGTCACAAGGTATCCAGTTGTTTTCCGGGATCTCCTGGTATATGTGACTGGCTAAGGATGACACTCTGGCTCGAATTGAAATTGTGTCATTTAGGCTGTTCATGACGTTTTGGTCGGCTGAGTTGCAATTGTAATCACAGGTGTATTCTAAAAGGAAGTACGTCTTTCACGAAACTCATTTTAGATAAAAATCGGGTCCGAAAAAAATGCAAATTTTCAATTTATGGACTGCTGTCAATTAATATATGTTGAATATTACTGAATAAAGTTCTTAACTGCCAACTAACATATAACAAAAAGTTTCTGATTGCCATTAAATAATAAATTTCCTGACGATAGCCTGGTATTTTAAGTTTTCCTAGCTAAAAGTAAAGCTCCTGACTGGACTCGAACCCTACGCAGCCTTAGTAGATCCTTTCTGTGAACCTATTTTTTGGAGAAGGATAGTAATTTAAAATGTACAGTACCCAGTCTCAATAACCTTGCTCGTCGCAAGGATGATTAAATGAAATATATTTACGAAAACTTGTTAAACGTTCCCAGGAATTTACTCTAATACATGACTAACCATTTTCACGTTCTGTGCTTGGTAGATCAACGCGAAGCTTACCCGGCAACTCCTCCCGACAACTAGCTCTCATATCTACCTCACCTCTGTCAACAGGAGGTAATCTTCTCTCAAACAGTCTATCATAAGTCGCCTCACACGATGAATTACTCTTCACATCTTCGTTGTCGTCATTTAAATTTTCTTCATCTTCATTGCCAGCATCTAGCGAGTCACGATTCGACGTCGGTCTAGGATTCGGTTCCGAATATATCCGACGATGGGACAAGCTGCGATGAGTGGCTGGTATCGTTGGGTTATTCGATTCTGAATTTTCATAATACTGCACTTCCGAATAATAGTGTTCCGATTCCATAACATCTTGACTTATCCTCTGACTTGGAATCGTTGAATGTCTTAAATTTAAAACTGGAAGACCTCGCGATGGCAAGTTTGGCTCCGGCAGCTCGTACAGATTATTGTTATTATCACAATAAGGCTGTTCACAGGTCCTAGGTTCGACTCCCGGAGATGGGTTCGGAGGCAGAAGGGAACTGCTCGAGGGGTTGCTGTTGACCCAGGAACCCGCAAAACGACTGGATCCCACACTTGTCGGGGAACCCAGAGGCGGAACAGGAAGCGGCGATGTTGGAGGCACGTGAGTACTGCTTAAGGACGTTGCAAGATTCAAACCCATTGGATTATTACCTCGGTCCTCACTCGCATGTTTATTACTAGACTTGGAACTTTTTCGAAGATGTGAGAAGAACTTCAAAAACGAGCTCGCAGGTCCATGACTCCCAGAACCCTTCCCACTTTTTCCTATTCTGCTCTCATTTAAAGGTGACATTGCACTGTGATGGTGAACTACATTAGGTAAATTACCCGTTGAAGCTAGCTGCAACTGGGGGAGTGATCTCTGGCTTTCGAAGGGGGGTTCGTCGTAAATATGCTGTTGTACCGGATGCTGGCGGATTCTGGGCCTGTATGAATTGACGGCGTTGTAGAGATGTCGGGCGTTGTCTTCGTGAGCTCGAATGGCTTCCTCGTTGATGTAAAGATGCACACAACTATATGGACCAAAACGACCTTGGTAGTCTTGCTGTCGGGCGAGCTAAACAGATACACTTCAGATGTAATTTCACAAGTAGATAATTAAACTCGTTTGTAAATGGTTCCTTTATGTTAATTAAAACTCCTATCGGTCATTTATTTTCTTCAATACACTAAGCATAACTCAATGGCATAATCACACCTCTCAAAGACTAAATTTCCGAAAAATAAAAAGACGCAGACAAAAAACTAACCGTTGTGTTGCGTGCGTATCGAGATAATTTCGATTCAGATCGTATTTTCGAATTTGTTAAAAACGAATTAATTTTTTTATTTTCAACAAATTCGAAAAGACGAGAAGCATCGAGATCTGAATCGAAATTATCTCGATACGCAACAACACAGTTAAAATTTATTCAAATTAAGTTAGTCGAGGAATGGTAATACCGTCATAACTTTGGGAAGAAATCAGCAAGGATAGATCAAGCGCATATAGCCGAAAGCACCTACATTGGTAGGGCGGTCAAGCCATCCCAACGGAACGATAATGACGACCGCTTGGCCCTGTTCTCGGCATCAAACGACCTATGCATAGCAAATACCATGTTCAGGAAAAAATCAATAACTTCCTACATGGTGCTCTAGAGACAGGAAAACAAGAAATCAAATCGACTTCCTATTAATTAGAAGAAGGTGGTGCACATCGATAAGTGACGCCCGCGTGAGAAAAGACGGGCTTCTCCTCGACAGTGACCACCGAATGCTTACGTGCGCCCTCAAGTCGAAGCTTAGAGTTTACAAGAAGACACAGAAAACGCAAAGGCTCAACCTTGAAGCCCTTCGACACTCAACCACGGCAAGAAAGTACTGCCAAGAGCTACGCCGGACCGCGGAAGGTGTACAACGCGACGCCACAGTAAACCAAAAATGGGAGCGTATCAAAAAAGCTATAGTAAACACGGCCAAAAAAGGGTCAAAAAAGTCACAGACCAAAGAAAGCGCGTAAAGCAACTCATACAAAGGGACAAAAGCAAATACCTGGACGAAAAGACAGTCGAGATTGAATTAGCAAATAAAAAAGGACACACACTACAGACTGATCAACACGCTAGGCGGCAGCGGAGACAAAGACTATCACAGAGTCACTCAAGGATGCCAACGGAAACATGATCAACCAGGTCGACGCCGACCAAAAGAGATAAGGGACGCCATACAAGGGCTACGGACCCACCGCGCAGGTGGATGTGATGGCAAACCAGCAAGACCAAGTGCATGTTTGCCTGAACTGACCCAGCGGTGCTGTACCTCGACTGCAACCCGCTCGAAAACGTCACTGAGTTCGTCTACCTCGGAAGTCGGCTATCGTCCAATGACAACATAGCAACAGAAGTACAAAACAGGATCGCATGCGCCACTGCCAACAGCTCTAGATTAGCAAAACTCTGGAAGAACAAGGGAACGACGAGAAACACGAAAAACAAAGTATTCAACGCATGCGTAATGAGCGCTCTGCTATATGCTGCGGAAACATGGACAAAAAATATGACCTCGTCAGACTTGATTTATGGGAAACAAGATGCGTGAGACGCTACCTCGAAGCACGACCTGATCAAGACACCACCACTATCCGAGCAGCAGCAAACCTTGGGACATCCTTCGACTCTCACCCGCGAAAGATGTGACTAAGATGGTGTGGTCATGTACTTCGAATGGGGGAAGAACAAGTAACTCGAGAAGCATTAATGTTTGAAACTCGAGAAGCATTAATGTTTTGAAAAAGCTCAGTCATGGAAACGCCCACCGGGTGGCCTCAGAACAACATGGAGAATGAACGTCGCGGAAGACGTTGAACCGATCCTCAGGCCTCCATGAATAAGGCACGATGCTTGGAAGAAGTCGTGGAAAAATATATGCTACGAAGTCGCCCAGGACAGTCTGAGATGGAGAGCGGTGGTCCGAGACGCTGCAATCAGTGGCTAGCTGATGGGCAGCCATGCCTTTGCTAACGAACGAACGAAGAAATCAGATCAAGTGTGAATCATTAACCAGAGATTATGTGTATCAGCATTATGTAAGTGTAATAACTCCTGTCATGACTAGTTGTACAATAAAAAACAAATTGTTCAGTTAAACTTTCTTCAAGCGTCAGAAGAACTAAATTCTATTGAGACCATTAACATCGCCCCAATGAAAGAGTCTCCCTATAAAATCGCCCAAAATTATCTGAACACATTACATATAGACAAACTTAAAATGCCTATCACAAAAACATCTTGTGGCTTCGGCAAATAACAATTGGCCTCTAAAAAGAACTCCAACAACTCAAAGCATAGCTTGCCTTCCTCGCTTTAACACTTCAAAGCACGAAAATAATTAAACACAGAGGTGCAGCTGCGCTTCGCAAACTTTTGCGAGAACACCACTAAAAAGCAGATCTAAAAGTGAAAAAAGAAGTTGAAACAAACCTCGAATTAGCAAAGACTCGGCTACGTGTAGGATTCGAATCTGCGACCTACTGCAAGAGAGATTTTGAGTCTCACTGCGCATTATCCACTCAGCCATGCAAAAGCTTAACAACCGACAAATTCTAGTCACGAATAAAGCAGCTACAAATGCCAATAAATTGCCAATGCCATTCAGCAAAAGCGGCACCAAGTACAAATAGACTCAATTTTGCAAAAATAAATTTATAACAAACTGAAGGCATCCACACTAACTTTGCATGTAACAAATTGCGAAGCAAAAAGCCACATTATGCATAAGTTATGCATTTCAAAAAATTTCGAGAAATATAGAGTTAGAAAATTTCTTAAACCGAGCATTCATTATCATTGTTGTTTGAAACAAATCACTTTTTGCGCTTCATTTGACGAATTACAAATGCATCAACTGTTAATTAACTTATAAGTATTCGAATGTCAAAGCACATGCTATGAAAAAGCTGTAAAGGTGCCCTAAAAGTGACACCAATATTTGCGACTTCGGTTGGAAAAAAAGAAGATTCGTACTAATACACTCACTTCGCAAGTGAAAATATTTCTGAATGACACTCAAAGACCGCTATGATATCGACATCTCCATGACAACAATGCCATAGAATCAGTAACTGATTTAGGGGGGATGCCCCCACCTTCAGGGATTCGACCCCCTGCTGACAAAAAAGGTCCCCCTTTGTACTATTTTGAGATATGCATTATAGCCTGACTGGCCCGAAAATTTTTTTAAAAGCACCAATATACACAATCTTTGAGGAGGGAGCGCGCCGAAAAACCGCAATTTTTATGGTCCACAGTTTTCAAAAAGTGCCCAAAAACACCTTTTTGGCCTGCTTTTTCAAAAAGTTTCGACAAACAGGGTCGACAAAATTTTCGAAATTCTTTTGAAAAACTGCTCCCCATCGAGAAAATCCTAGATCCGCCCCTGCATAGAACAGCCACTGCTTTCAAGGACGCTTTTCCGATCACAAAATAACCTCTCTTTGGAAAAACCTAATCAATTCAACTCATTTATTCAGAAATGCTTTACAACAAAAAACATAGCCAACAGAAATTTGAGAAAGTTTGAATAAATACGAAAAAAAACGATTCCTGATTCACTTTTTGAAAATTTTTCAGATTTCGAGAACAAAATACAAGTTAAAGCTCTTTGGAATTTTTAAAATCTTTAATGATTGTCATTGGCTCATAATGTTAACCCAAGAGAAAGCTGGCCCAGTAGGTTTGTTTCCAATGGAAAAGCTAAAAACTAAAATCTACTTTCAAATCGAAAAGTCATTCTAGTTTTTTATGCCATTTAGACTTGTTATTCGGGAGTGTAATTTGCCTTCTTTTCAGCAAATGAATTTCAATTGAACCCCAGAAGAAATTAAAAATCAACCCACAAAAAGTCAACCTCTAAAAAGACTCTCCGTTCATTGACACGAAACGCAAAATCCTATCTAAAAATCTTTGGGTCTTTTTACTTATTCCTCCCAAAAATGAAAATTTCAACATCTTGAACTAAAACCATTTTGCTTCAATCTGATTGGCTAGAATTAGCCAATCAAATTCAGTGCCCATTTTTTAAGTGATTTGTTGAGAAAGGGGGCAATTGTTAAGTAGATTAAAATAAAGCATTTTTGACCAATCACAACGCAGCAAAATTAGAATTCTCAATACAAAGCTCTAGCGCTAGCGCTTTTTTACTGCTTTTATTGAAAGGGGTGGCAATTCTTAAGTAGATACCAATGGGAGGACGATTGTTAAGCAGATCCCTAAAAATTATTTCAAATGCACTCGTGGATTGGAAAAAGCACAGAAAACAGCTCCAGGGAACAAATGACCACTTCTTCCGTATCTGTTCAAAATTCGGCCTTATTAGAAATCAGCTTAAGCAAGAAGTGATTGCATTGAACAATAAGGCTCTTTTCCAGTTTCCCGCCTTTCAAAATACCGAGTTATATGTTTGTTTTACGTGTTATTACGGCTACATGCGTGATGTTACGCTGAAAGTATGAAGAACACATCTGTTCACAGTTGTCGATTTGTTCACCACGCCAAATTTCATTGCATTATGACAACGTTAAATAGACTTTTCAAAATTGAATTTGAAAGGGGAAACTAGAAAAGAGCCAACAATAACTTTATTTTCGGCACTGTTGAACGCCCCTCTAAGGGGGGTCTATGACGTCAGAGTCGAAGGAAATTCAGGCCACAATTTGAACTTTACAAGCAGCTCAAAACACTATTTTGTAATCTGTAAAACGTTGCTTTTCAAAATTAAGGCAAGTATAGTCCATCAAATGCGTTATTCATGACATGCACCACTTGGGATTGGCATCCGTTAATAATATCAGCCGGTTTTTGAAATGCATAAATTATAAACAAGAAAAACGCCTTCAACCGTGTTTTAATTTTCAACTTTCCTAAACATCATTTGGAGGATTGAATTTTATTGAAACGCCAATATTTAGTGAAGAAAGATTCTGAAGTTCCGGAATTCTTCAATAAAATTTTAAAATTAATCATATTTCACAAGTTGATAAGAAAATATTCGGCTTGAAGTCCTTAATTTTACGATTCGGCTTGATGTCCGGCACCCCTCGGGTCTAGGACAACAAGCAGACGGAACTTCAAGCCGAAGGTACTTCAGGCCGAAAATTAAACTTTACAAGCACCTCAAATCATTATTTTTTAATCTGTAAAACGTTGCTTGCCAAAATCCTAAGCTATCACTCTATAATAAGCGTTATTTAAGACAATGAATCACTTGGGATTGGCATCCGTTAATAATATCAGCCGGTTTTTGAAATGCATAAATTATAAACAAGAAAATCACCTTCAACCGTGTTTTATTTTTCAACTTTCCTAAACATCATTTGGAGGCTTAAATTTTATGAAAACGCCAATAACTTGTGAAGAAAGATCATGAAATTCAGAAATTCTTCCAAAATTTTTTCAAATTAATCATATTTCATGACTTAGTGACAAAATTTTCGGCTTGAAGTCACTTATTTTACGATTCGGCTTGGTCGAATCTTTCGCTCTATTTTGAGATACTAAGTTGTTATATTTATGATTTTCAACATAAGTTAACTTGTCTTATAACCATGGTAATGATATTATACCATTCGATAATACAAACAAGTACTTAATGTGGCCAGCAATTAGGTGCAAATTAAACAATTCGTAGTAACAGGCAGGATGCAGTATCTTCGGATGCGTGGGTTCGAATCCCACTCCTGTCAGAATTTTGACTTTAACGATTTCGATCAATTAACTTCACAGATCTTAAGACAATCTATTCTAACTATCAAATTAAGTGGTTTTTGGAACAGCGCAAACGAGGCTGGTTAATTAGGTTTGAGAAAGTTTGAAAACGGACGAGCGGCGTCTATTGATTAACTTTATTTTTCCTTCCCCCACCAAAGAGCCCTTAATTGCTTTGCTACATTTGCCTAGAATTAGCGTGATTTGGGACGATGGGACCCCTCTGTCACACTTGGTTTTTACCGAGACCCTTCTATCACACTTGTACGTTGTGCCCAAGTATGATAGTTGGTCCCTAGAAAATCAATGGATCACCGGGGAAGTGATACATCTTCAGTGTGCCTTTATGGCTCTCCTAACGAACGCTACCAACCATTCACACACCCCCCCCCCCCCTCTACCTGTAAACTTTGAAGGCTCTTTTTCCTTCCCCCCCCCCACATGCAAATTTCTACAAGTAAATTTGTTGACCACATTGTCCGATTGTTATGAAAATTTACATACAGACTAATAAGGCCACGACAAACAAATTTGGTCCTCATACTCAACGTCGTAAAACCACTCGTTACACTAATATATTGAAGCTCGTGTGAGGTGGGGGGGGGGGGGGGGAGTTGGAAAAAAGAGCCACTTTGAACACGTAACTTTTGTTTGCGGGTTCCAATTCCAATCACATTTGGCTCTTTTGTAGTCCCCCCTTCAAATTCAATTTTGAAAAGCTTATTTAACGTTTTTAAAGCAATGAAATTTGGCGTGGTGAACAAATCGACAACTTTAGCCGTAATGAAACGTAAAACAAACATAAAACTCGGTATTTTGAAAGGGATGAGGGAAACTGGAAAAGAGCCTCACATTGTGTCGCCAGCAGCTCTTTTCCGGAACACCCCCCCCCCCCCCCGGTCCCTGTTTTAACCTCGTCCGCTAGGTGAGATATAAACTATTCTTCGACGGTAAGTTCTATGCTCTCTGAGAAAAAGACAGTTTCTATTAGCAACTTAAATTCAGTTCTCCATGTTTAAGTCTGGCTGACACTGACCTCGAATCATTTGAGAGACAGTGCATTATAAGAAAGAGTACATATGACATATGTCTTTACAAATAAATTGATACTAATTTAATCATCAGACTTCTATATGTTAATCAGTAGAAGTTGAAACTATAAAAGTTAGGTGATTTGTAACTGTTGGAGGTGACTTGCTGAAAATGGATTGCCGCATTTGAAACAGGTTTCGTTTTGGAGTGAATTATCGATTCCGCTATTTTGTTACCTTCCTTTTTGGACAAAATTTGCCGGTTCCTATTTTCTGTTTGTGTTTCCACTCAGTATTCCAGACGTCCCCTGTTTTCGGATATGTATCTGAATCTCTAGGCCTTTCTCGCGCCTGACAGCGCAATCTAATGTCTTGTTCGAGGGATTTTGTTTCTACTAGCAGATCTTTTCGGACTTCGTCTTTAGACATATTGGCTGTGAACAGATCTCTAATTATTTCGGCCTCTAGTCCTCCGTCATTACATGCTGTGCATTTGAAGTTTCCTTTCACCACGAGCTCTGTAAGACCGCAAAGGAATTCCTCCAACGTCTCTGTTTTTCCTTGTTTACGTGCGAATGCTTCATATCTGTCCAATGTTACATTTCTTGGTTTTACGAACAATGTTTGTTGCCGGCCCCAAAGATCTCTGGTTGTTGCGTTCTGCATCTTGAGGTTAGGGTGACAATGGCTCAATCGCCTTCGACTTTCGGTACTAGACACAGGTGAATGCAATTGCAGATTTTCATGTCCGCTTCTTCCCTCGGCACACCACCCACAGTTGGCACCAGGTTATCTAGGAGTTGACATTGGTTCTCCCAATGTACGCGTTTTCCAGGTTTCGAAATCCCGGTCTCTCACCTGTGTATGTATTTCACCTGTTATTGGTTATTCGTACCCCGGCTCTTGTGGTTTTCGAATGAGTGGTGGTAGTCCGAGTAGGTTCTGCAGATTTATTCCGTCTTGTGCAATGATCCCTAAGAATAATTGTTGGTTCCAAATTTCCCACTCGGTAGGCGGTTCCTCAGAAGCTTTCTGCCAAAATGGCAGAACACTGAGAGGCTTTTTTGAAACTGCTGGCTGCGCCATATTATACCCTCGTCCGTTAGGTGAAATGTAAAGTATCCTTCGACGGTAAGTTCTATGCTTGCTGAGAAAAAGACAGTTTCTAATAGCAACTTAAATTCAGTTCTCTTATTTTAAATCTGACTTACAGTGACCTCGAATCATTTGAGACACAGTGCCTTATAAGAAACAGTACATTTATCTTTACACATAAATTGATAATTATTTGATCATCAGGCTTCTAAATGTTAATCAGTAGAAGTAGAAGTTATAACTATAAAAATTAGGTGTTTTATAACTGTTTGAGGTGATTTGCTGAAAATGGATTGCTGCATTTGAAACAGGTTTTGTTTTCTGGCGATTTATCGAAGTCGCTTTTTTCTTAGATTGCTTCCCGACCACGTCCGCCTCGTGATTGAGATATGTTCTTTCCGCTTTTTGGACACAATTGCCGGCTCCGATTTAATGTTTGTGTTTCCACTTATTATTCCAGACCTCCCCTGTTTTCGGATATGTAACTGGTTCTCTAGGCTATTCTCACGCCTGACAGCGTAATCTAACGCTTGTTCGGTGGATTTTTTTTCTGCTAGCATATCTTTGTCGTTAGACATATTCTGCTAGCTGACATCGTCGTTAGACATATTGGCTGTGAATTGATCTCTTGATTATTTCGGCCTGTAGTCCTCCGTCATTACATGTGCATTTGAAGTTTCCTTGACTACGAGCTCTGTAAGTCCGCAGTGGAATTCCTCCAAAGTCTCTGTTTTTCCTTGTTTACGTGCGAGTGCTTCAAATCTTTCCAATGTTAAATTTCTTCGTTTTACCAAAAATATTTGCAGTCGGCCTCATAGATCTCTGGTTGTTGTGTTCTAAATCTTAAGGTTAGGGTGATATTGGTTCAATCGCCTTCGGTTCCTAGAAACAAGGAAAAACTTACTGGATTTTCTTAACCGCTTCTTCGCACGGCACACCATCCACAGTTGACCCCACGTTATCTAGGAGTTGACATTGGTTCTCCCATTGTACGCGTTTTTCCTGGTTTCGAAATCCCGGTCTCTAACCTGTGTATGAGTTTTACCTGTTATTGGTAAATCGTACCCCAGCTATTGTGGTTTTCGAATGGGTGGTGGTGGTCTGAGTAGGTTGTGCAGGCAGATTTATTCCGTCATTTGCAATGATCCCCAAGAATAATTGATGGTTCCAAATTTCCTACTCGGTATGCGGTTCCGCAGAAGCTTTCTGCCAAAATGTCGGAACACTGAGAGGGTTCCTAATAGCAACTTAAATTCAGCTCGCTATTTTTTAGTCTGGTTGAAACTGACCTCGAATCATTTGAGAGACAGTGCATTATAAGAACTAGTACATGTCTTTACGTGTAAATAGATACTTATTTAATCACCAGAATTCTATATGTTAATCAGTATAAGTTATAACTATAAATATGTATGAGTTTCCATCTGGTTGTTTTATCATGGATTATGGATTATCATTAATGGATGTTTTACTATAATACCGTACAGATAAAGCAACTTTGTTTCTATTCAAATTCAACATATGGAAGTCAATTTAAAGTGACTTTTCTCAAAAAAATTCCTTAAAACGTGTCAGCATGAACAAGTTTTTACATTTCTGACATGCAAAATGCCATGTGAACAATTTTTAAACAGCCTAATTTTGTAATTTTCCGAGGGGTGGGAAACTAGAAAAGAGCCATGTCATATAAGCAGGTAAGGATAATAGCGAAAACCCCATGTTTATATCTGTTGGGGGGGGGGGGGTTTCTTGCAACCTAACATAACTAGACGAAGCTAGAAAACAGTTGATAATCATCGCGAACTTCAAAAAGTTACAATTATGAAATCTATTTAGATAAGACTATCTCTTGCCCGAGGAAATCGACAAAATCAGACGTGAAAGTTGTCAACAACTTAATGTTACTCACACTTCTGCCGCCGTCTGAGCCTAGTCTGGGTCGCATGGTGATGACATGGTACCTGATGGCTCCTCCCTCCGTGTACTGACTGTCACTCTCACTCGTCAGAGTTCCCGTCCCATCTCCATTGCCACCTGGTCCACAAACATCCATTTTCGAAATTCAAATTTCTCAAAGTTAATTCTTAAAAAACGGTTTACAATTTTTTTCATGTGTTCACACTGATATGTTTTCTGATTTATTAAAATTGAAAGAACTGGAAAATATCGAAAGGTATCATAAACCGAAAAATAGATCTAGATCAGGCTCTATTGTTTACAATGGTTCTTCCACCATAAGGGGGTGGTTAAGCCACAGATACCAAAAACTTCTACGGGTCTACCAACCACAGGGCTAACTTAGACCACCCACGTGACAAGAAAAGCGGACTTAACATACATCGTCAAAAATCTTTATACCTCGCTGATAATACCAGGCGTCTACTGGCTCTGCATATTCATAATGAGCAGAGTTGCCCTCTCCTGCAGATCCAGACAGTGTCGGCACTTCTTCCATCTGAGACTCCTGCTCTTGATCCTCATCTTCCTCCTCCTCGTCTACTTCTGCAAAGGGCAACGGAGGAACGTCCGAAGAAGTTGGTCTATCAGCATTTTGGTGTTCCTGTTACGACCGAATAAAACATAACCAACTAAATGATGACAAGTATCAATGAACTAAACACAATGGAACAAATTGAATCTCTTTGAAGAAAATTTTCAACTGTCGAATTTAGAAAAAAAATCACATAACCTCTTCACAAGGGCGGATTTAAAAAAAATCGAAAATTTTGTCGACCTTTTTTTTAGGTCGAACAAATTGATTTTTCGAGCTCTCCCTAAGGACGGTTTAGTCCCTGTTCTGGCCAAATTTTTAGCGCAGCAGGCAAAAATTTGAAAAAAAACAGTCCAAAAAAGACATTTTTATTTAGGCTTTTTTTGAAAAATTTTGACCGAAAAATTGCGTTTTTTCGGCGCGCGCTCCCCCCTCAAAATTATAATATATTGGCGCCGAAGGCGCCTTTAGAAACATTTTAGGGTGGGTCGGCCAAAACTCGACTTCTTAAAAAATACCAAAAGGATTTCTTAAAATCCGCCAGTGCCTCTTCAAATTCGAAAATTTATAATGGGAACTTATTTCATAAAACTAACTCAAATAGAGAACTGGGTTGACGCCTTTTTTTTATTCCGTTCAGAACTCTCAAAAATTGAAATCAAATTTCGAACCTAGCAGTAACTCAAATTTTTTGCGCCATTTCTATTTTGGTGATAGGATCCTTATTTTCATCAAATTAAATTAAACTGAACAATGAAAGAAATCAACCGTGAAACCACAAAAAAAACAAATTTGAGCGTGATTAAATTATAAGACGTTTTTTTTTTTTTAAAAACGCGACCTCAAAACGCAGTCAACGAGGAAATTGCTTTCAAGAACATATTGGAGCTCCTGATACTATATATCCGTTAAAAAGGAAACTTTCTAATGAATAACGTCAAAATATTGCTTGCAGCAACAAATTCAACAAACCTCGGGTACATCTCCTTGAGCGTCAGGAACATTTTCCCCTCCCGTCGAGTTCTCTATTTTACTCGTGCACTGCAACCCAGCACCACTTCCCCCCTCACAATTGAGATCCAAGCCCTTCTTCTGCAGATGCACCACTGATGACTCACTACAAGGCGTATTAAAATGTTTATTAATCTGTGTCGCCGCAGCGAGATTGTTATTTGAAGCTAAGGTGATCGGTAGGTTGTTGTTCGAACTGCAGGGCGTTGCTGTTGAGTTGAGGCAGTAGTTTACTATTGTCCCTCCCCCTCCCCCTCCCCCTGCACTTTGAGGGGGAGGAAGTGGATACTTGTCCAGTTCGTCGTATATCTGCTGACTGCTGTTGTGCAAGTGAGATGAGTAGTGAGGGGTTGACATTGAGGGCCTAAAATTACAAAACTGCTTAGATAATTCAACAGTGTAGCTACGTTAAGACTTTGTTTCATTTTCAACAAAAAACATATAATGAATATTTTTTGCGAAAAACTATTACGATAGTGCGAAAATGAGACAATGAATATTGACCAATACAAAAACTTCAATTTAGTAGAGTGATACGGTTTTAGAATGCTGGAAAAATCATCTAACACAGTTGAAGCGGAATTTTGTAACTCTAGTGATACATCACCGACAAACCAACAAATCAAGGGTAACAAACTAACGGGCGCCACTTCCCAGAAAAAAAAAATATTTCAAAAAACCGCCGCCGATAAAACTAGCCTCTACCAACATTTAATTGTTTTTATTAACAAATGAAGATCAATTTGAAGAAAACATGTATTGAAACACAACTGCCAGCGTTAAATTAGTATTCAGGCAAAACTTTTAAAAGGAAATTAAGACGACAATACGAGCCGAAACCAAACGTGTTGCCACAAAAAAATCAGCTATCTAAAGTTTTGAAGCTCGAAGTTTTTACGTCTCCTCGCCGCAATAAACACCCCCATAAAACTCTACTCTATTTCTTTAAATGACGCAAAATGAGGAAATTATGCCATTTTAATATAAGCCGAAACTCCTTAAGCTGAATAAAACTTATAAGCAATAAAAAAACACAGGGAAGTATACAAAAATGGAGCTGTTAATTTGCTACAGAAATAAGTCAAAATGACTTTCATTTTAGGTCAAAACCACTGAAACAAAAAAACTTCAATGCTGTGGAGGAAACCAAGCCAACAAAAACTAAACAGACGTACAATACAACAACTATTATAGTTTTCAAGTTTGAAAGCACTGCAATATCAAGAAAAAGCAACCAGTAATTGTGCAGGTCACCACATTAATGTACAGTGCACGCGCTGTTAGCAATAATTCAATGATTATGCTAGCCAAGTTGTTTGCCTGAAAAACTTCTATGTTTCGACTTGCTACGCTTGCTAATCGCAATCATAATTAAATATTGGTAATATCGTTATCAATAAATAGATAATGAAAAACCACGACTTATTGGTGTGATTTCAAATGAGTGTTTGACAGTACAAAAAAGCAAGTCTGTATTGCTTACCTGTCTGGTAATGAAGGTGTCTCGGCTAGCATTGCAGACCTGGATCTGATTGGGGGTCTGGGGGCCCCGTTCCTGACAATCTGAGAGTAGATGTGGTTGGCCCCTGGTCTTGCAGCATACGTGTCGGCCTCTCCCCCACCTGACTCGTAATAGTCGTCACTACCAGCGCCTAGAATCAAACGAATTAGTAATAACAATCGTGATACAATTATTAATAAATTATTATTAATAACAACCAGGGGCGAACTTAGGGGGGGGGGGGCTGATGCCCCCTCTCTTCAGGAATTCGACCCCCTGCCCACCCAGAGGGTCCCCTCTTTGTACTATTCTGAGATATCTATTTTTGACTGACTAACCTTAAATTTTTTCCAATATTGGCCTGTTTTTTCAAAATTTTGCCTGCGGCGCAAACATTTTGTTCAAAACAGGGCCTTTTAAGTGCTTTGGAAGAGCTTGGAAAATCTATTTGGTCGACGCAAACCCGCAAAAATACAAAAATTGAATTTCAAAGAAAACATTCAGCCATACAAGCTCTCAAGTTTTCGAGAACAAGTTACGATTGACACTTCAAAAAAGCTAACTCAATTCCGATCAATAAGTTAATTTGTTATGCCGCTGGGAAATCAAAAATTGAAATCCACGAAACTAGACGTCGATATTGTTTTCCAGCACTTTTACAATTTTGCTGCTCGATAGGGGAGTTTGCTTTCTTTATATTAAAAAAATGAATTAAAAAATGAATTGAAAAAATAAAGAAACCAAAAATCGAACCAAGAAAAAGTAAATCAGAGCCGGGACAAATTTTAAAAATTTTCCTGAAAACAAATAGAAAAAAACAGCACTACTTATTTAAGATTCTTCTCTACGTTGATTGACTCTTAATAACAATAAAACACAAAGGAAACTGCACTTTGCAAACAGAAGCGAGAAATAGTAAAAATAGGCCTAAAAAATGTCAAATTTAAAAAATTTTCTGGTATCCCAGACCTCGATCTCAGGAGTCTCACGTCCTAGCATCAGCGCCAAGGGCGCTTGATAAGCATCAAACACTAGCCACTAATAAAGCAGACAGATATAATTCTACGGCAACAAAAGTAAGCCAGATATAAGAAGAATTAATTCCTCGTTGTTACAAAACGGCTTATTAACCGAATATAAGTTAAGCAAACTTTTTAGCAACTCGGAGAGGACGAACCCGTTTGGATTGCAGGATGCTGCCCTAAAATCAAAGACATTCGAATAAACTTTATTACAAAAGCATGAGAGTGGAATTAACAATAACTAAATATAATTCCTGAAGAATAAAGGAGGCAAAATAGTAGCTTTTTACTCTAAGAAAAAAAACGTCTCTCAAAAAAACTCGACTATTTTAGTGGTATGTAGGACAATTTCCTGGCGATATACACCTTGAGATAATAGGTTTAATTATATTAACTTGACACAACTGGCTGAAAATTGAAAAGAAAAAACAATTCTGAATTTGTATGTGTTATCTTCAGAAAGTAGTCGTAGCCCCTTTTGTTCGGTTCAAAGGTAAAACTTGAACTTATTCCCTTAGCGGTTACTGCCACTACTAACTGTAGCTCGTCTCTAGAGCCCCCCTGACACCAATAGAATTTGACGGAGGCCATTTTGACGTTGGGCACCTAACTGAGCTCAAGTGGCAGTAACCAGTACACAAGTCCAAGAGGGGTTTTCAAATAATCAGGGACTATTTGAAAACCCAATTAATTGACAAACAAAAAGGCGTACAAAAACGTCAGCAGTTAACTGCAAATTTGTATTTAACGATGTCTTCATTGCTCAAAGTGTATAAATCAAGTAGATTATGAGCCACAGATTGAATATCAGAATGAGTTGAATTGTCAAAAAAAAGCCGGAACTAAATTTTTATCGCGTAATAGATTGAAAAGTTTCGATCCCCTAAAGCTGAGCAAAGCTCGTTGTATTAGACTCTTAATTTTGGTACTTTCAAGGGAAAAATAACTTGCTCTACGTGTCATGTAAACAGGATTCTCAAAACAGAAAAGATTATTTTAAAATTTTCACAATGATGTCCACCAAGGGCTCTCAATACAAATATGAGAAGTTCGTAGACATGTAGCTTGTGAACTGTTAAAAATTTTTTTAGTGCAAAAATACGAACGAATGCTATTATATTTTCGTTTGAAATGAATTAAGCGCAAAAATTGTTTCTGTATCATCAAAAGTGGCAATAGTTGAGTATAATTGGTGCAATTATATACGAGAACTCCGTATTGCAAATTGGTTTAACATTTGAACTATAGTAATGAAGAAAAAACGAATTTGGAAAAAAAATGACGAATTTTTGAAACAATCCCGCATTGTTTTCTGATTTTGTTCCGCATGTAATTATTGTGAACATTGAATGATAATATGAGCACCGAGATATTTGCATGAAGAAATGCTTTTTAGGGGTAATTTATTGATGTATAAGAGAGAACTGGAATCATTAAGTGAGGATAAGTTCAAATACACAATTTTATCTATATTTAGTGATAATTTGTTAACACAAAGCCATTCAGTAACCGCTTTAAGATCATTATTGAAACTTTCAATTGAGCAATTTAAACCTGCAATGTTTGTATCATCTGCAAATAGTAAACTTCACACGAAATGCACACTTTGGGTAGGTCATTGATATATATGAGGAATAACACGGGCCCCAAAATGGAACCCTGTGGATCACCGCAATTTACTTCCAGCCAATAAGATCTGGAATTTCCAATTTGCACTAAATGCCTGTCGTTTTTAAGGTAGTATTTGAACCATAGTAACGTCTGTTCACTTATTTCTAATTTATTTAAAAGATTTTTATGATCAAGCGTATCGAACGCCATCTTCAAATCAAGAAAAACCGGCGTAACTTCTGCAATTGCATCAATAATACTATGCTTTTTCGGAAATCAAACTGTTTGACACAGATTAGGAAAAAAAGTCCAGGCATTCGTATACTCTGTTGTACATAGCACGCCCGAAAATTTTACTCCAGGTTATGAGAAGAGATATTGGACGGTAATTTTCTAAAACCAGCTTTAATCCTTCTTTATAAAGCGGATGAACCACAGCTCCGACCAAAGAGCTGGGGAACGAGGCTGATTTAAACAACTTGCCTATTAGAATTTTCAGTAGGGGTACAATAGTTACTCAGCTCGCTTTTAAAAGAGCTGGGGAAGGAGGCTGATTTAAACAACTTGCCTATTAGAATTTTCAGTAGGGGTACAATAGTTACTCAGCTCGCTTTTAAAATGACATGGTAATATTACCAAATCGAGTAGATGACTTATTTTGCATGGATGTAGTAATTGTATCGATCTCCAATTCTGTCGCTGAAATGTTACGCATACAAAAATTTGGTTTCTCAAGGATTTGCTCTGAGCTAGAACTTGGTAATTCATTGGACAGGTTAAAACCGATAGTTGAGAAAAATCTGTTAAATTCATTTGCAATGTCAAGATGAGACGTGATTAGTTCTCCGTTTGTGTTTTTAATTGAGATAATTTTTTCTTTTTTGCCACATGCAATTCCATTATTTTCATTTAAAATTTTTTAGACTTGCCTTGAGTCACCAATACATTTTTGAAATTTATTATATTGGTCTTTTTTGAAATTTATTATATTGGTCTTTTTTGAAAAGTGAATCTCAGTTTTAAATTTCTTTCTAGAATTCTCGCAGTCGGGGCTGATTTTTTTTGACCATGCTTTATGTAGCCGGTTCCGTTTTGCAATCAATTTTTTTTAAATAGTGATCCATGAAAACTTAGCTTTTCTTTTCTTCGAACTTGATGATCTAAAAGGAGCAAAATTATCTAATACTCTATTATATTTTGATGCAAACTGATGAAAGCAATCATCCAATGATTCTGAAAAGTTAATTGTTTGCATCGTTTTAGATATCTGCTGATTCAATATGGATTTCAGAAAACTAGTATCACGATAAGTTTTTGTATCTTCGTCTTCTAACTGTGATGTGTAAAATTCCAAAGTAATCAGAGAAAGATCAGAAAAAGACATGTTATTTCGTACTTGAGCAGATTTGACTTTTAAGACTTTAATAATGAAGTGATCTAAAAGAGTTTCACTTGTATTGGCAATTCGCGTTGGTTTGGTGATCAGCTGTTCAAAGCCATTGCTTTCCATGACCTCATGACATTTTGAGGAGAGGTTATTCGCTTTTAAAATATCAATGTTGAAACCACCGCAGGCTATAACAGGATACTTTTTGATTGATAAAGCTTCAAGAGTCTTATCTAAATCATCAAGGAAGCAAAACTTATTGGCTTACGGCTGATTATAAACAACGAGCATTATAAAACTTTAATGGAATACTTTCACGTAAATTAACCAACAATTTAGTAACTCGCTCAGATATTCTTCTGACATTAAGCTAAGACCCCTCCTCCGTTCTTACTCCTATTTTTTCTCAGTTAGTATTGTAGCCAGTCAGCTTGTAGCAATTAATATCGCCGGCTTCATGAAGCCAGGTTTCACTTAGGCATAATAAATCAGGTGGCGATCCATGGTTGGCTATTAATGCTTCCAGTTCGTCACAATGTTTATGCAGAGATCCTACATTTAAATGGAAAACGCTAGCAACTTTAATGTTTGAGGAATTAGCAACTTTCGAAGACACAAAGGATTTAATGCTAGTGTCACCAAATAAAAAAGCACAGTTATGTAACACTTGAGGTTGGAACAAAGGTAGTTCTTAAAATTAAACTACGCTCCGCGAGTGTTAAAACAAACAAATAATGAAACGCTCAGGCGATGCTCCACTTCGCCAACACAGGCAAAATGGGCAAAAAGAAGGTCTCAAATTATTTTAAAAAACGCCTAAAAATCAGCTTTGAAAAGTACCAAGAAAAGTACTTCAGGCCAATAAAATTAATACCTAAAATCTTGGTTTTTGCGCCACATGCTCTTGTTGTCTTCCAAACACGAGCAGCCAAAAAAGCGGATAAAACACATGCTGATAAAAAACATGATATTATTACTGAAATTTAGCTTTAATTCTGAGCAAAAACGTATGCAAGTTAAGTTGGATAAAGTGGAATAGCTGGACAAGCGTTTGACTTTTTATTTAATTTAGAAACAAAATGAACTCGTAAAATAATACAACGTTTGCTTGCGTAAATGGTGATAATAATCACTGACAATAATCAAGCTGCTATTACAATACTGATTGTCACATGATTACATGGAATCATTGAAGCATTAGTGTCTAATAGATTGTCACGAGACCTTTTGGTCCGTTTTCAGACGTCTCTGAAGACGGGCCAGAATTAGTTTAAAACAGGTATACCGGGTGCGTGCTCTGAGGAATAAATAGCACAATAAATTTTCTCTTGGATTCTATCTTTTATTTCTCAAAGCTTTCGACTTACAGCCCTAAAACTTGAACTACAAGTAGTACAAAAATTGCCACCATACAGTTGGAAAAGAGTCTTTAAATGCAAGTTAACAGAAAAAAACCTCGATTGTTTTTCAGAAATGTCAAAAAATTTCAAAGAAAACATGCGGCCAGGTTTACTAATTTACCTCCCGTTGGGGCAGATCTGACGGTGTAGAACATGGTGTCCGTGGGACTCCTCAGGTAGTACCTGCCTGGATCTCCCGCTGACTCCCAAGGGATGGCTCTCAGATCATCATTGTTCACTGCATTCTCCAGCGTCCGCATCGCACGTTGGCTATATCTGGGAAAACACGAAGGACTTTACTCGGCATCATTATTATGATAATAGCTCGTGAATTTGTCCGACCACTTCACACGGGGATAAGAAATCCCCTGGTTTGAGGAACCATGATTCGAATTGACTTTGCCAACACACTAAACTATCTTCAAAAGTTTGCATTTATGTCTTAGAGCAAGCAATTACTATCCATTTTCCAATGAAGCCGACTTTGCTAGCTGAAAACAAGAAAGAAAGTCCCAAGTTTCTGGACTGGAATTGAACAAGAATATTCACTCAACGAAACTGAAAGCATTAACGGAAAGGCAGGAACTCACTCGTCGCGACTGTTCTGGTTAGTGGGTGCCGCCAGTCGTCTCTCTGCGTCTGGTGTGTCGTACACGTGCGCTCTGTGGCTCACTCTTCTCGCCGATATGTCACGACTGTCCTCAATTTCCTACAATCAACAGACAAGTGAACAGAAGTGTTTTTTTTTCTTGTAATATTAGATGGACAATAACGCTATTGCGTGTGGAAAAGAATCGAACTCTTGCAATAGCTTTACATAAAATCAAACTTAACTTGGAATCTAAAATGTTGCTGACTCATTTCTCAAAATCCTCCAAGGACTCAACCGAGCCATATTTTACATGGACAAGTATCATGAACTGGCTGACAACATCTTATATTCATTAAAAAATCAAAAAAATAGCTGTAAGCTGGTCTTTTTCAGAAAGAAAATATGTTAGAAAAGATTAAAGAGCCGTACACCATATTGATGATATCGGATACCTGAAATAATAAACAACAAACAGAAATAAAACAGAAGCTTAGCAACTCATCGGAAGATATTTAGAAAACAAAGATACTTACGTTGTAAAAAGCTCCATCGCTGTATACATGTTCCGATAATTCGTAAGTCATGGACCGATTTGAATCACGAGGCGCTATCGAAGGTCTCAGAGATTTCAACGTATAGCGAGACCTGACATGCCTTCGAATCGGAAGTTTGCGAGCCCCCCGAAGACTAACTGGAGTCCTGACATTCGGGATCTCAACATTGGAGTCCAAAATTTCAATGTTGGGTGTTATTAGGTGGTGTACTACTGTTGTTTTGGCGTTACTATCATTTGAGCTGGCAGTCGCCTCTTTCTTTTTGCACCTGAGACGTCGGAACAACTTGAAGTTGCGGATCTTCCGACAGCAGCCCCGATTGACGTTTTCATAGCCATTTTCAGTAGAGTTCGGTCTAAAACATTATTTTAATTGAAACCAAGAATCTTTCATTATATTATGAAGTCGTTAAGTTTCAAAGTGTGCTTTCACAGAATTTGACAATTCAGAAGTCCACTCTCAAATACAAAGCTAGCAAAGGTCCTGTCCAAAATTACAAATTTTGGTTAGTTCGAGATCAAAGCTGCTCACCTTGCGTTAATTGCACTCATTTCAGATCATTTTCTGGACTGATGATCTAACAGCAAAAAAGCAAAGTGAATCTTGTTCTTTCACGTGATTCGTCTCCCGTCTGTAGTACATAAAAGATCTGTAAGTGAGACTGATTCTTAGAGCTTGGTTTCTGGTCTCATCCGTTCTTAAATTTGTTGCAGTCTCATGCGATCACTGAAATGTTAACCTAAAGGGCTCATCTTTTTTATGCAAAAAACCAGATACACAGCAAAAACTTAAATTATTTTTTTGATAAGGATTTTTTCGCAGAATCCCAATTCTACTGAACAAAGTCAACGAGCAATCACTTTGATCGGTTCAAATTAGGGCGATTTTCTAAATCCATAGACGACATTTGATAAAAACTCTCAAGAACAACCAATTATTCCTTGAAACGAATTTAGAAAACAGGTCAATAAAGCGGAACAAAAACAGTTATTTTGTCATCCAATAACCTGTAAAATTAACCAAATTTGATCCTTTAATTGTACAATTGCTGTGTTACCTGAAAAAAAAAAAGAATGATGTCAATCAAATTATAATTTTCTTCTCTGTAATTATTAAATCACATTTACCATCAGTTTTCTAATCCAACAAATTGAAATCTTCAAAATGAAGTGACAACACTTATCTGCTCAAAACTTATCTGCGCGTCTTCCGACTAGTTGTAAATTATAGCGACTTTAGATATTTCAAACTCAATGAACGAAAAATCAAAAACATCACCCATAGCAACAATGGATAGTCAATAAACCAGCCGAAGTGAAAACGACCGAAAGTATGGGGGATATAAAAACCAGCCGAAATTCATATAGTTTGTGTTGAGGTTTATTTGTTTTTAGTATCTGTTACATAATTGTTTAATGACTTATTTATGTAGTAGCTGGTTTATGACGACTGGTTTACATACCACCAGCAATAATGAATTCCAAAATATACCAAAAATTGAAACATTTTGCAAAAAAATCTTCCTCGGAAAAATAACTGCTACCTACAATTTTCTTCAATTGTGTCAGCCATTAGACCTAAAAAAATTATCATTTGGACACAACTCAGAACCCAAACTCTGTTCCGTTTTTAAAAAAAGTCCAACGAACAAACAGTTTTTTCTTTAGTCAATTATCTCTCAAAATTTGCCCTCTTGCGCTTCCATTTTCTGAATAATTCTGCTCAGGGCTTTTTTCGAGTCGCCCTCTGGGAAGTTTCCCATGTCAAAGTACTGTGGCGCAATAGAGACTAGCCACTCTGGTTTGGCGTCAGTCACTGTTCTGATGTAGTTCTTGGTGGTGAGCACAAACTCGTTGTAGACTACCCAATCTGGCTTGTGGTCCAGACATGTGGACGGATGCAGCTGGACCACCTAAACAGGATATATATGTGTTAAAAATCACTATCTCACATTTAACATAGAAGCGGGAATGGACGTTTATTTATACAACGTTCGAATTTCGAGGAAAAAAATACATCATTTTTTATTAAAGAGCTTTGAATTTCAAGAATTGTATTTGATCGGAACTTTCTGTAAGTTATCCTATTTAGAGAAAACAGGGTAACTTTTTATATTCAGCCAGGAATTCAGAGACTTAAGTCCATTTTTGAAACTATAAGTCATCCACGTTTTAGATGAATTTTACATGAGCTTCACACTTCAGCTGCTCGATTGTGGAGTTTCCCTTCCTTTCAACATAGGAAATGAACTGAATGAAATCAAGTTATGTGTTAACATAAGAGAACATAAGAGAACACCATTTCGTTCATTTGTACGATAAAAAATCATCACGATCTAAGTGAAAACCATTTCGTCTATTTACACCAAGTGGCAACGGATTAACGCTGAACTCACTGCTGATTGTTTCCAAACTACTGTCCATAAAAACATCTACAACACATGAATTTAAAAAATCTTAGAGGGTTGCTGCACAAGGTGCCCAGAATGTTAGCCCACAAAATTCGATGCTTAAAATTTAAACGCTTGACTAAAAAAATGAAAATTAACTTTTTCAACGCATGTTTAACTTTCTGAAATTTTTTGTTCCCTTAGCTTCAGCTTCAAGAATTTAAAAAATTAGACAAAAACAAGGTTCAAATAAATAAAATCTGCTTGTGGTGATCAATAGCCCGGATAAGCAAGATTACTCTTCGGCTGTACACTAGTTTGAAAAACAACAAGAAAACACAGGCAAAGAGGAACGATGAGAAGCGATGCAACACAAACGCTAAAAGCATCAGCCGATAAAATTGGTGAAAAAAACTAGGTTTACCAAAATTTTCTTGTCTCTATAAGAGATCAATCTATGCAAACAAGCCAAAGAAGACTTTCGAGTTTTAAATTGATAACGGAGCAACACTACCGAAGCGGAAACAAAGCCGACAGAAAAACTTAGAGGTCCCCCTAACAATTTTTTAGAAAAACTTTTAAGCCTCGCTGAAACTAAAACGAACAACGCTTGCAACTACAATGAAACTTGCTTATGGCACAAGAAAAATCCATGATGAGGCACCTAAGTCGACAAAACTTGAAAAAATGAAAAACGAAATTTAATCTTCAACCGAAAAAAAAATCAATTCCAAATGAACTGAAAAAAAATAAGTCCCGACCGGGACTCAAATCCAAGATCTTAGGGTGCAAAAGCGACTGCATTACCTGAAAGTTGCTAAGGTTCAATAATAAAGCAAGTTCAATTTCTTACAGATTTGTAAGAAAAGTTGTTTACGGGAGCAAAATCTTGTTCCTGATTACAAGACACTTGCTCACGCAAGTAATAAAAAACATTTAAGCAATTGTAAAATTGGCTTTTTTCATAATACTTTACCATCCCATCTATCGTAAAAAAAGACTCTTTAGAAAAAAATGATGTGGGGGATCGTCATGAATTTAACAGCCCGTCTTCACGCGCCTCTGAACCTGTATAGCATTGAACCTTAAACTTTTGAATTTCGAAGAAAAAAGTAGATTATCTTTAAACTCGTTGAATTTGTAACAATTTATCATGGACACTTTTTTGTTAAAACTAACCCAATTTGAGAAAACTGGATCAATAGGCAAAAGTTATATTTCGCTGGGAAATCTGATAATTTATTTCCATTTTCAAAGTTAGAAGTCGTGAAATTTACACTTTTGCTGTTCGATAGTGGAGTTTGCCTTCCTTTTAACAAACGAAATGAGCTGAACTTGAAAAGAAATCACAAGTCAAACAGCAAAAAATCAAAATTGAGCGTGAACAAATTTTAAGACTTTTTCCTGAAAAAAATCAAAAAAAAAATCAGCAAGACCTGTATAAGAGTACTAACTACGTTCATTAATCTTAAACATTTTGTAGTATATTATAATCGAATCTATTAGAATACACTGATAATTTTTTTAATACACTAATAACTGTCTTGCTGAAACTCTCTTTTTCAAAAGTTTGTTCAAATTCAATTATTTATTACCTTAAACTATGGTTGCTTTGCACTCTTTCATCAATATCTCAGAAACCAACTTCGATAGATCACAGATGTAATTCCTTCACGAATACCTTTATAAATTTTAATTTACACTTCAAATGGGAAATCTAAAAATTAAATTCCTTTTTCAAAACTAGAAGTCAATCATGTTTTTTGTGACCTTTACTGTTTCTGTTCGATAGTGGAGTTTGACTTACTTTTAAAAAAAGAATGAGCTGAACTTATAAAGAAATCATAAGTCAAACCGCGAAAAAGTAAATTTGAGCCTGAACAAAAAATTTTAGACTTTTTTCTGAAAAAAACTAAAAATAAAAAAAAATCATCGCGACCTACATAACCTATATACTACGTTCATCGACTCTTAAAAATAACAAACGCGCTATGAAAATTAAGGAAATACGAAGTAACTATGCCTTAAAATGTTTTTAAAAAATCCCATCTACGCGAATCGAACCTCCAGATTTTGAGTCTAACGTCAACAAAACGGCGCCAGCGGCCATTAATGACTTCAAATACCAGCCACCAATAAAGCATATATTATTAAATTTTCAAAGCTTGACAGCATAAGTGTTATCAGAATCAGCGCTAAAAAGGATTCGTTTGATAACAATACACTAAATTAAATGAAAACAGAAGGAAACTCCATCCTTTGGAAAAGAAGCCAAGAAAATAAGCAGACAACTATAGTCTGGCACAAAAACAAGAATTAAGGTCCTGTCTGGAATCGAACCACGTGTCGTCCCAAGCATGCAAGTTACCTTGATCTTAAGTGGGCAAAGAGAGAAGCTGGAACTTGATATATAACAAAGTAAGTCGAGTACAGTGCGAAAAACGCCTAGTACACAATTGCAGCACTCTTGCTAATCGTAAGGGCAAACTTGTTCATTTACATCAATAAAATATCCCAAGTTACTGACCTGATTGTCCTTAACGGTCAAGTAGTGTCCACTTCTCTGCAAATGAGCAGTCTGCATGAAGAATCCAGTGACGAGTGCCTTGCGGATGTTGATGTAGTAATCTCGACTGGCGAAGTCAGTGCTCGCCCTCTTTAGTTCAAACCGGTCCATGATTCTAGCCAGCTGAAGTCTCACATTGTCCGCTGATTTCAGAGTCCTAAAAACATGCAAGAAAAATAATTGCATTTCCAATCTATGCACAGCAAACAGCAACATTGATTGTATTTTTAACAGCCTATATTTAAACTTCGATGTGGAAACGCAAATATCTTTAATGACTAACACATCGAAAAAATTGACAGTTGAAAGGAAACCAAGTTCTAATGTAAAATTCCGATAAGACAACGATACACAAACAAAAATAGGAAAATTATTAAAGATTATTCTAGAACGATCCAATTAACCTGTAGTTAATGAAGTTATCGTAACACCACTGAGGATCGTCATGATTCTGCTTAAACGCATGATACACATTCAACAACGTCAAGTGATCCCCATCAATGTGAGCGAACCTCATTTTCGCTTCATCTGCTGCTTTTTTCAACTCATTCGGTCTTGTAAAGCATTGAGGAACTGAGAGCATTGATACTATAGATAGAATCTCATTGGAACAGTTGTAGTCCGCAGAAGCGATTAACATCTTTGCCAGTTGTGGGTCCAGAGGAAACTCTGCCATCATGCTTCCTAGGGGAGTCAGGTCGCCGTTATCGTCCAGGGCATTAAGGTAGTTTAGGAGTTCCAGGGCCCGCATTAGAGTTTCGGGAGCAGGAGGGTCCATGAAGTCAAAATGAACCAAATCATCAATTCCTGAAAACAAACGAAAACTGTTCTTTCTTCTCTCTCTACACTCCGACCAGAAATTTGTGAAATTTCTGAGTGAGATTTGAATAATTTTTTACCCTTTCATTTCATCTCAAAAAAAATCAAGATTACAGGGATAGTCACAGAAGTTTCGGGCCATTTTTATAAAAAGCTCAAGAATCAAAAAACGAAATTTGAAGTCGAGATCCAAAATGACCAATTCTTTAATAAAAATTCCCGTCTCTAGAAGTGATTTGATAAATATCTCACCCAATTTCTTTAATTGCAGCACAACCATTCCCAAATTAGACCTCAAGATCTCTGGGTAAGTGTTTTCTTGCATTTCACTCTTGTACGCATTCTCAGTATACAGCCGGAAACACTTGCCCGGCTTAGTTCGTCCCGCTCTACCCGCTCTCTGCTGGGCCGACGCTTTACTGATTGGCGAGACCAAAAGAGACTCGACCCTGATGCGCGGGTTGTACACCTAAAAAGCAAGGACATTCACGTGACTACTGAACTAGACTTCCAGGCTTCCTAATTCAACCTCAAACTAAAACGACCCGAGTTTTTTGGCCCAAACTATGCAAAATAATTTGCACTATACCAATTCTGGTCAAATTCTTGAAGCAATTTTAGTTTTAGTCTCATCTTTTTAGTCAATCCAGTTCGATAAAAAAACGCTTTTCAAGTTTCCGATTTTGTTCTTTTCAGACACAGCGCTGGTTTAATTTATCCGGACCAGGTCCAAATCATCACAACCCTGCATTACCCATAATTTTTTTTTAAATAAAATATATCTTTCGTTTTCTAAGAAAAAATAACTTAAGTTGTCAAAGCAACTGAAAAAAGTCAGTCTTCAGAAACTTCGAAGCCAAAGTCATTATTCGGTTTTACCTTCTGTTTTGAGAATCCCGGATCAATCACAAACACGACGCCGTCAATTGTAAGCGAAGTCTCGGCGATGTTAGTAGAAATGACACACTTTCTGCCAATGGCCCCGTTCGGTCTGTCGGCCGGAGGGGGCTCAAAAATTCTCTGTTGCAGATTTGGAGGTAATGTTGAATAGAGCGGAATAGTGCTGAGTAGGCCCACATCAGGTCCCAGGTTGTCCACTTCTTTTCCCAGTCGCTTGCAAGCTTCTTCGATCTCTTCTTGACCAGTTAAAAAGAGAAGAATGTCCCCTTTGACCTCTTCGCACATGTGGATTTGGACCACTGTTCGTATTGCTGCTTCCAAATAATCTCTAAACACATTCATTCTATTCTATGGATTCTTTTCCGTATATCTCGTATTTAGTCTGCTTCATTTCTATCTATCTTACTGTGAATCAAAACCCTAATTTGTCTTTAAGGTACCAGCCTTTGCAACATATCCTTTTTGCCTAAAGTTCTCCACCACGAACATATCTTGCAAACCGAATGACTTGAACTTGATAACGCTTGAAAAAGCCTGTGTAGAGTTTAGGCGGTACGAAATATCGAGCAAAAGAACGAAGTAAAAAAATAACAAAGATACCCGCAAACTAAAAGGGTCTGAACGAAAAACTAGAACTTAGCCCCACTTGACAGTAATCGTAAAATAGGCAAATTTGTCAATAGTATATGTAGAATTGTAACTAGAAAAACAAAAAAAATCTTTTTAAAAAAATTTCTTGTGGAAAGTTTTTGATTCTCAAATTGGCACTAAAAACTTTAAATAAATTTACTCGAGTTTGAAGAGGTCTTCACGGCGTAAATAAAAAATAAGCAATAGTAGGCCAGCTCGCTCGCTTTATTTGCTCAAATTTAGACTAAAAACCAAAATCATCGAACCCGTTTATCTCAAAACTGAAAGATAATACAAAAAAAAACTGAAAAATAACATACTAATTCAGATGAAAGAACAACAAGAGCGCCAAAAAAAACCGGCTAATTTGAAAAAATCATCGGAAGCGAACGTCTTGAAACATGCAACTGGATAGATAACTAGCGCCTAATTGGAGAGCAGGAGAATGGAAATAGAACGGAATCAATGCAAGAAAGCATCGGTTAAAGTCATGAACAAAGCGAACACACTTGTAAAAGGATTAGACGAGAAAGACATCTCAGTTGGTCATCGACTTCCTTCCAAAACAGCGGCCCTCAAGCCAATGATTGTGAGCTTGAACAGATGTATAAGCAAAGTGCAAATGATAACGAAGAGGAAAATGCTGCAGAAAGGCGTTTCTAATATCCAAATAACTCGATGGACTGAGTTAGCCGCGAATAGAATTTCTAAAAAAAAGATGAAATCGGACGAACATATTACGTCAAATGGACCAACGATGTGGCAATATTCTCTGAGCTGAAGGCTGACAATAAAGTATATCGTGTTAATGGGTTGTATGAAGGTAAGATGTCCTTGAATACTTTTTTTCTGATAAGAACAAATATTTTCATGTTTTTAGGAACAACCTGTTGCCAAAAAAGCAGTTGCAAAAATTCTTTAAATGTGTTGCTATTGACTGTTCGTTCTTTGCGTAAACATCATGAAGATATAGAAGAATTTCTCAGTAGTCTCGAGTCTCCAAGCAATATACTATACCTTACAGAAAATTGGCAAAATGAAATCGACGAAACTAAAGTATTAATTGCAAGGCTTCCATAGGATGCTAAGAAAAAAAGAAAAACAAGAGGAGGTTCTATGATTCAGCTAGTTGCAGAAGTTGTTTCAATTGATCAATTACATTTCAATCTGGCAGAATCTATTTCAGTCCTTGTAGAACACAAGGAACTAACAAATCATAATCGTAGTAGCTTACGTTCCTCCTCGTTTAGACAAAAATCAGTTTGGCGATGAGTTGGATAAAAAACTTACTCAACATAAAACACCGATTGTCCTGGCAGGGGATTTTAAAATGAATATACTCAAGCTCAACAATCTACAACAAGCTTATCTTGATTCTGTAATGCGCTTCGAAATAAAAATGAGACAAGAATTGATGAGAGTGTTGAGGTGCTCATATTTGAATGCATTTTGATCATTATCCTCAGTCTAAAAGGCAATAATAATGGGAAAATGATTAAAAGAAATCATATTGTAAAATGTCTTTATTATAGAAAAATAAATTGGATGATTTCCTGATAAATTTGAACAAAAGTTTGAAGTTTCAAATAATGTCAACAAATATAAAATTGATACGGCCTACAATTATATTAATGGATGTCGGATTGAATCAGAAATTGAGCTTGCCCCGCTGCGAATTTACATCCGAATAAAAAGCCAAATGCACAATGGTTTGAAAAAAATTAAAAATTCAATTCTGCGGAGGAATGAAACGTATAAAAAACTTATAGAAACGTATAAAGTTCAGAAGCGTGATATAAAAAATTTTAGTGCAACTATACACTTTTGAAAAAGATAAGGTATTTGTATCGGAGACTCTAGACAGGTTTATAAGGTTTTAAATGAAATAACAGGAAGAAAATCTAAATCTTCGTGTATTGCAGCTTTATCTGTCGATAGTAGCAATGTGTCTGAATCTGTATCAATCATTATAACTTAGCTATGTCTATATCTCAAGTAGAACCACTCCTTGAGATTGACAACGCTACTAAGTCAATGTATCATTGCATTGTTTTTTCCAATAAGACATTCGTGTTATACCCAGATTGAATCCCTAACAGACTACCGGAATCCATGAAATACGTAATTTACCGTTCAAAAAAGCTGTTACGCTATAGCGCCTTAATTAACCTACTTTAAAAAAACTTCCATTCAATTCTGGTGTTTTTACCGCTTCTTGGAACTGACAGCAAAATAAATATTACTAAATACAAGCCGATCTCTTTAAAGCAGTTGTAGCAAAGTAATAGAAAAAACATGCAGTTTTATTTGAACAACTATGTTGAAAAATTCGACTTCTTTTATGATGGTCAGTATTGGTCTCACGAAAACAAAATTGATGCTCTGGCGGACAATGAGAGCATTCGTTTAGTGACTAACGGGAAAATCAACGCTAGTTTAGTGAATTGATTTAACGAAAGCAATTGATAAGCTTGATCATCAAATTCTTTTACAAAATTGGAATATTACGGAATACGGGAAAACTCTTATAAATGGCTTAAAGTTAATTGTCAAAAAGGTATCAAAGCGCTCAAGTAAACAAATCAAACTTCTTGATGGATTCCTATAAATACAGGAGTACCGCAGGGCTCCGTTCTTGGCCCTTTTTTAAATTTACATTTCTGACCTGCATCTCTCAGCCACCGATTCAAATGTCTCGTTTTGCTGCTAATACTAATTTAGCCTGTATAAACTCGTTTTTTGATCTATTTCAAAAAAGGATGAACTAATTTTTCCAACTGGTTATTTATGTGCAAATAAATTATCAGACAAAAACAACTCATATGAATTTTGATGCATCTAATCTCCAAACTTAGCAATCTGATAAAATTTATGATCCAAAGCCACCCCGTAAAATCCTAAGTGTTGTACTGGGCAACAAAATAATTGTTTAATACTCAAAAAATTAAAAGGAAACTCGGGTGTCATTGTTGCATTGTTTCAAAAATGCGTCATTATGTTCCAACGTCAAACTTAATAAAATACTCTCAATCGAATATCAAACAAAAAAACAATACGAATTGCTTGTGTATCAGGGAACCAGTTTTTCTCTTTTGAACCAAATTTAAACGTAGCGAAAAATTGCTCGAACGAAATTCTTCTAGAGTAACTATGATAATAAGTATGACAATATTTTGAAATAACGAGTATCTAACGGTACATCAACTTCACATATACGATTTATTGGAGTTTTGCTTCCAATATTTCAATCATAGAACCCAAAATTGTTTTTGAATTCAATGTTTCACATGAAAATTTATGCTCTCTAACTAATAGGAGTACAAAATTGCTGAATATAATGAGCCTGGAAAAATTGGTGATATGACCAAAAATGAAGAAACAATTTTTAATCATAATTTCAAAGATAATTTTATACAAGGAAATAAGGATTTAGTACATTCCATTTTTAATTAACCTATAAAATTTTCAATTTCTTGAACCCAATGGTTAAATGCTATCAAAGCACCCTTTCAGGGATGCGATTCTAGTTCAAAAATGACCCTTAAAATGCTTTTAGTTTTCGAGATATCGTCAGTTTTTCAAATTTTCTAAATATATTTATATTTATTGATTTCCTTATCACTGGTGTAATACTATATGGGAATAGTAATCGCGCTAAATCACTGACAACCAAACATTTTTAGGCTCTTTTGTGGATTAACTTGGTTTAATTATTAGAAAAAAAATATTCTTCTTATTTTATTTAAGTTCGTCATCAATATGTGTTCGGTTAGACTCGATAGGTGCGTATTGTACTTTTAGTCTATTCACTCCATTCTGGTATTTAGTAAAACAATTAATTGAGTTTCCTAAAAAACGTTTAAAATTTACAGTTGTGCTGTACTTAAGCGATTATCGCGAAATAAATTCTTTCATTCTTTCTTAATCTTTTTGAAATCAGGACTGTTCGAATCACGAGTGAAAGGGCTTTTATATGACATATCACTCGACCCACTCCGAGGATCAATTGTAGCACCTGCGAGGAAAACAAAATAAAACAAGAAAAAACTAAAACACACCCTAATACATAGTTGCTCCCCATTTTAACAACATCGAAGTTATTTTTCCACACAGCAAAAAATAAACGAAATAATTTATCCGTTAAGCAAAAAAAATGTACCTTTCTGGTTCTGGTGTGTAAAATATTTCCACCGGATGTGTTCTTCCAGGCACACTCATCAGTGGACAACTGTCAAAATACTCCTGGAACTTCCCCGCGTCCAGAGTCGCACTCATCACAACCAGTTTCAAATCCGGTCTATTTTTCACAACTTCTTTTAGCAATCCCATTAAAATGTCTGTAGCCAGTGTCCGTTCATGGGCTTCGTCCAGAATTATGACCCCGTATTTCTCCAGTAATGGATCTGTCATTGCTTCTCGGAGCAACATACCTAAAACAAAAAAACTTCAGTAATTGAAAAGCTATTAATTACAATGCTTTATGGAGATAAAGAAAATTGTAAACGTATTGGTGATAAATGGATAGCGACTACACCTCGCAATAATTATGCGCGCGTCGGTTATGAGACTTGGGCGTTGCTTAAGGCTGATGTACCATTTACCAGCAAAACGAATCCTTTAGTGCTCAACTAAAGGATAGGGTCAGCTCACCTCACACAAATCAGTGATGTTCATCTAATTTTAGAATGAGAATCGTTCAAGGATGTTTAACTTCAAAAAAAAACGTTTCGTGTTGAAATATACCGTCAGTCATGTATTTAAGCAACGTTTGGGGTCCCGAACAGTCTTCGAATCGAATGGAATATCCGACTTGTTGTCCGAGCACGACATCCATCTCCTCAGCCACTCTCGCAGCCACACTCATGGCGGCCACCCTTCGAGGCTGCGTACATGCCACTCCCTTCTTGGTGGAGAAGCGCATGAAGTCCACACACCATTGTGGAATTTGAGTAGTTTTACCACTTCCAGTTTCACCCACTAATACCTGCATACATAAACAAATCTTAGCATATTTTCAAGAAATTAGTTTCAAAGTCCAAAAACATTCCCAATGAACACACTTTTATCAAATGATTCAATAATTTATTCATTTTTGCCGCGAGGTCAAGTTTTTGTTCTAGCGCAAGTTTTTTTTGGACAGCAATTATAAACGAGGATAGCCGGTTGCTGTACAAATAGAAACAGAAAACAAGGATAGCCGGTTGCTGTACAAATAGAAACAGAAAACAAGGATAGCCGGTTGCTGTACAATTAGTAACAGAAAACAAGGATAGCCGGTTACTGTGCAAGTAGCACAGAATATTCTGATCACAGTCTTAGAAAAATACAAAAAAAATCATATTAATGTCGTGTTTTTTCTCCATGGTATGATAAAAAGATCTGAACGAAAAAAAAAACTTAGGCATATTTGACAGTCATAGTAATAAAGACCATTCAAAAAACAGTTTTTGAAGAAAATTGACTAGACATTTTTTTTTGATTTTTTAACCTTTGTTTACACAATGGTGCTTAAAAAATCCAAAAACTACTTTTATTTGAGTAAAACTAAGTTTTCACGGCTTAAAGTAAGCTTAAACAAGCTATTGTAAGCCTACACGCTCACACAGTTTTAGTTCGAAATTAGACCAAAAATCAAAAATTTCAAACCGGTTTTTCTCGACACAGTGAAAAAATGAAATTTCTTAATGTCGTCCGAATCACGATTGAAAGGGCTTCAATATGATATATTTCTCGACCCATCCCGATAAATATTTGTGGTACCTGATTTTGCGTGGAAAACAAAAAAATGAAAACACACCCAAATACAAAGTGCCTCCCCATATCTCATATGGTCGGAACAAAAACGAGGTAGCGAGAAAAGATACTCGTTTCATTAAAGAAAAATTATTGCTGCAAAATTCATTAGAAACATAGCCAACATTCAGTTGGAAACGAGTCAATGAACCGGAAAAAAGCAAAAAAAAAACAACTTGTTTTTTTTTTTGAAAAATCTCATCTTTCGAACTTCAAAGATTGACGCTTTTTGCTAAAAATGACTAAATTTGAATAACTGGATCGATAGATAAGCTTTTTATTTCGCTGGGAAATTTGAAAATTAAATTCCTCTTTTGAAACTAGAATTCGATCACGTTTTTTGTAATCTTTATACTTTTGCTGTTCTTTAGTGTTAGTGGAGTTTGTCTTCTGTTTAAGAAATTAAATGAGCTGAACTCGAAAAAAGATCATAATTGAAACCGTGAAAAAGTAAAATTTGAGACTACGATTTTTCCTGAAATCGAAAAAAAACCTTCGCGACCTATATAAGAGTCTAACCTACATTCATCGATTCTTAAATATCACCAAAAAATGACAGGTTGAAGTGACCAAAACAGCGACAATTAAAAACAACAATAAAAAAATTTTCAAAATTATGATTTAATTTTTTTCAATGCTTTAATATGATACTAAACTCCCTATGAGCTTTGCTAGTCAAAGGCCATCAGATACTTATGGTGTTTCATTTTGCGACCGTTGCTTGATCTTTTGGCCTATGAATGATATATTCGACATTTTGTCGGTTATGGTGCTCATTGCACCAGAATTAAAGACGAAGCCAGTTGCAACAACAATTAACCGTGCTAGGTAAATAACACGGAAGGACATTAAGACGACATGACATTAAGACGACAAATGAGCGTTAAAACAATTGAAATTCACCGTTCGAACTTAGACAGGTTTCTGCTCTCAGAAATACAATTGGTGCAGCATTGTCTTAAATACCATTAAAAAGTTGATGTTTTAACAGCCGGACACCATAATAAACAATGACAAAAAATTATGATCATGAAAAGATACAGGTTACTAGAAGGATTTTCTTCTTAACCAGCTGACCTCTACCTACCCATATTTTTGCTTGCACAAAAGTAATAACAGCAATATGATTGGAAAATGTTTGTAAAAAAGTTGTGCTCCAATTGAAATTCTAGATTAGCAGTTGAGTTATTTGACTATTTATGTAATTCAAATTCTTGACTACCACAAGATCAAACAACAAGATCAAAGAAGTTAGACAGCCAGTATTTATTATACAGAATCAGATTTCAGACAAGTAAACTTGTTATTCTTACAAGCAAAACCTAGGTAGCTATCAGCTAAAAACCAAACGTCATCTTTGCATGAAACTTGATCAGAACAACAATGTAATTGGTCAAAGAACAAAATAAAATTAGAGGCGTCAATGGTTCCGAAAATGCAGAGCGCGAACTTACATGACACTGGTTTGACCTCAGGATACTCATAAACTTTTCTTGATACTCCCAAACTGGCAGCTTTTTTCTCTTCGCCAGTAGTTCCAGATACCTCTGGGTGAATATTGAATTATTGTAGGGGTTCCTGTTTGGAACTTGGGCAGCTGCCCCGCCCACTATATCTTCATACTTGAGGATCTTTGCCCCCGATGATGAGGATGATGAGGTGGGGGCGTCTACTGCTACTCTCCGTTTCTGAGACATTTCTTCTCACTCACGACTTCAGTTTATGACGCGAATTCAGACCAGCGAAATCTGCAGCTTGATCTAAAAAGATAGTTATATTTTAGGAGGATAGAAATCTGGGGATATTTCACAGACTGATAGATCGCGGGGTTAAATACAAAGCATGTCAACAAAATAAAAACTTTCTTCTTGTCATAGCCTGAAAAAGTTCTAGGTTCGAGGCTGGTATTCGCAGAATTCTACTATTTCCCTATCCAAAGAAAGAACCAAACATATCCGGTCACGAAAAAAAAATTTGATATAAACTTGTTTGTGTGTTGTGTCACACACGCTAAAATGAAACCCAATTTCTTGTCAAAGCCGGTCACGAAATTTTAGCCGAATAGGGTTTCAAGAGATTTCAAAAAGTCCGAAAAAAATCATCACGTCATTGCAGATCCTTGTACCCTCGCAAATCTCAAACACTCTCCTAGTTTCAACAAAAATTGCTTGTTTCATAAGAAACTTGTGGCTTATATAACAGATATTATAAGATTTGCAGAGATATTTGTGAACATAAAGAAGTGGGGGAAAAAGTCGACTATGAAGAATACATTTTTCAAAATCTTCAAAAAAAACACTGAAATTCCTGTAATTTGATGTATAATAACAAATATTGGTCAAAGTTCATAGGCAGTGTAGAAATTGAACAGCTTTTGATAAAGACAACTAAATAACATAACTGTTTACATGAAACGGTTATGTGCTTAAGTTTTCATGAAAAAAAAATTCAATGTTCCCAATTGATAAAGCTTGCTTATCGCAAGCGTAGATATATCGATATGGCCGCCTTCTAATACAATCAGTTTTTCATACAGGCGAGCAATAAGATTGGCACCAATAAAAATATACTAACTTTTTTGGGGGCTGGAAATATTCCCCGTGAAAATGCCTGACGCTTCCACACAAATTAGTATTCGGCCAAGTTTTTGTACCCTGATCCATTCAAAAACAAAAAAAAGTACCATTCATCCGCATAATTTAACAAGACTGCTTGTATCAGAGCTAAGCACTGAATGTTCCGACTACCATTTGATGCCTATGGAATACATTTTAAAACAATTTGAAATTCTCAAATTGCTAGTTAAAAAGTCGAACGTTGTCTGGCAAAAAAATCACCCGAGCACAAAAGTTCCGGCCTTTTCCTCGAAAGTCAGAACAAAAAACAATTAAAGGCTATCAATTTCGTATACCAGGGCTAGTTGACAATTCCTAAAAGCATACCTTTCAACTGTTTCGGTTCTTAGTTAAGCGCCGGTTACTCGACTCAGAACAATTGATTACAACAATTGTACTTACTAAAATTCTGACTTATAAAAAACGGGAAAGACGGAGCCAGAAATATGCAACATGTGTTCTTGGTAGTGGAATTATTATATTTTCACTACATCAGCACACCATGTAATAAACCATAGCTGCCATAACATCGTACAATTAATATTTACTCAGAAGAAGAAAATGTCTCTGTTGGTTATCCAGTGACAAGTGCCTACACTCCATAAAAAAGTTACCAGCATTGAATCTTCTACTATTTCAAAAATTGAATTATTTTCGACCTGAAAATGAAATGGTTCAAGGTTAGTTTTAAAATTTTTTAAACACGGAATGATTCAACTTCGAGCATGTAACTTTTCAGAATAAGATACCAACAAGTAATTCTTCGCTTGGCTTATATAAAAAGTTACTATCAGTTTAAGCGAACGAGGCAATTTTCTGCAATCCAGCAAGCGAAACTAGCCTTTTCTAGATAGCAGCAATGTACATTAGATATTTTCTTGTAGAGAAGAAACCACCGCATTTTTTTCAGCCTAATCCATCATTTATTTTTAGAATATATTTTCGGGAGAATCGGGCAGTTCGAAGAATGAGCCACAGACTCCTCGCTACTTCCAGAGAACGCACAGCGTGTCCAGCATCTTTGAGGACGCTAACCCAGTTTCAACTACTTTTAACCCCAAAGATGACACCAGCAAGCATAACGAAGATGATGTAACGCTACCAGTTCCTGCAGGTACCTTATGCAAACAAGACTTCTGACACCACTATCTTCAGCCAGTAGTTGAACAACATAGAGAAATTTCACAATGCGAAAAGTCTGAAGTGGCATTTCAACTTTGGAATTTTCAATGAAAAAAAAAACAGTTTTAACACAAAGAAAGAAACACTAGATAGTATGTAAAAAAAACTAAAAGCAAACAAGATGGCCGCTTTCTGTGCAAAACCCATCAACCACGATAATAAAAAAAACCGATCAACCACGATAATAAAAAAAATGCTTAAATTTGCGTTTAAAATTTGCGTTTTGTTTAAAATTTGCGTTTTGTTTAAAATTGCGTTTTTCTGCGTCAAGGGATCATAGAGACAAAAGAGCCTGGAAAAATTATTACTGACTTCAGTAACCAAAAAGAAATCTTAGTGCGCTTAAGTGTTTTCACGTCACATTGAGAAGTGCTCTTTGAATAGAGAAGCGAAGATTCGAGAAGATTTCGAGAGTATGTCGTTAAAGCAGCTTTACATAGAACAACATAACTGAATCTTAACTTTGCAATAATTTTTGATGCGGTAGAATAATAGAAAGAATGCAAGCCAAATACAACCCTGTGCGATAGCGTTTCTCTTTAGTATTATCAGCACACTACTGAAAATCCGCAACCGATCATGGCTGTAGCATACGTTGAAGAAAATTAAGAGAACTCAGAAATCCAAGTGTGTATTGCAGTTACTGGTACCTGTATTTAATATGCAAGCTTTACAAAGCTTTCAGGAAGCCACAGTTTACTTTGATATGAGATAAAATCTTCATATTAGTATTATTATTGTTATTTTCATAAGGAATTTAATCAGAGATAAAAGGATTGCTCCCTTAGTTTGCAAATCATTTTAAGATGTCCTTTTTAAAACTGATTTGCAAACCTAGGGAGCAATCATTCCTTCTATGATTAAATTCATTATTTAAAAAATGATAAGAACGATTTGAAGAAAATCAAATTTTCAAAGCTTGCATAATAAATACAGCTTCCAATAAATGCAATACACAAATTGACTTCTGAGTTCTCCAAATTTTCCTCAACGTTTGCGAGAGTCATCAGCGTTTGAGGAACTTCAGTAGCGTGCTGGTGATACCAAACGGAACAGCTACCGCACAGGGTTGTATTTTTCTTGCATTCTCTTTTTTTTCTACCGCATTAAAACTTGATGCAAAATTAAGATTAAGTTATGCTCGTTCTATGTACAGCTACTGTAAGGACATATTCCAAAGAAAAATCTTCTCGAACTTTCGGTTCTGAATCGAGTGAGCACTTCTCAATGTTAGGTAAAAACACTAAGGCACACTAAGATTCCTTTTCGCCTCTGGGAGTCAACCCGAGGTTGCAAGAAAGCTTGATGGGATTAATGGACTGAAAACACGAATAGATTAGGCAGTATTGTTGCTAAGGTATACGACAAACGATGATTTTTTTCGGAAATTATATCTGGTGAATCGGTTGAGGTTAAAATAACCAAAATAAAAGTCGTGTCAGGCCCGGGTTCATAAAATCCTGTTTTAGTAAAATCCTGTCCATTAACTTTTCTTTCAATCACAGTAATATTATGTTATCTTTATTATGATTTGGTGAAATTGGGGCTTTTCAAGCCCAATTTTTGTGTGTTTTAAGATGCTGATGAGCAGTAGCTCGAAAGTACTCCTAACTAATTCAACGTTGATCAACAACGTTTTCCTCTTATTCTTATATAACCATATTATTATTTTTTTACTTCCTGATTATGCCTCTGGGATGTTTTTCCAGCTATTAAGTTCTAGGATTTGCTCGACAGTTTTCACAAATGTAGATAAAAACAAAAATCCATGAGCAAAAGTTCTATTGATTCATGTTCTTTTCGAAGTAGCTCCGCATATACTCGATCATTTTTTTCTTCCAGTGCTGTTCATCGAAAAATTCCATTACTCTCTGGATGACATTGACTCTGTGCCCCGTCCTGTACCAGTCAATTTTTCTATTCAAAATTTTACTATACATTACCAAGTCTTTGAGACTGAAATAAATTAGCTAAAGTTTCTGCATAACCATTTGATTGCTCTCTTGTGAAAAGATTCGACGATATGATAATCAGATCGCCGAAGTTCCCAGCACTGTGAAGGTGTGAAGAATAGAGTTGATAAGATAGCTCTGTATAAGTGTAATTTTGACTCTATCGTTATAATCGGTCAAGTGCTTCGTCGCAGGAGAAAGAGGAATTTCATTGCTTGGCTAACCCGATATTTAACAAGGTCACTACAAAAAAAATTTTCACTGATGACTAGACAAACATCCTTCACTGGAGGTTTCTTTTCAATCAAGGGTTAATCAAGCATGAAGTCTTTTTCAATTGGTGGCACTTGTCAATTTCGAACTCAGATATTGAGCATTTCTTGTAATTAATCAAGTTAATTTTGATTGCTCCAACAAAATAAACTGTTCAGATCTTCTTGCAATTTTGTCAGTTCTTCCGCTTTACCCTCGAAAATTACTTTCAGGTCATCCGCGGATAGCAGGGCAATCGATGAAGAGACAAAATTTGGCAGATCATTATTGTAGATCAACAACAAGTGTCCGAGGACACATCCTTGAGGGACCTCTGTGATCGTCAGAGAATCAAATATCACTTCATTTATTTATACCCCCTGCATTCTCCCGTTGACGTAGTCCCGGGCAAGCTCGAATATTCGTTTTGATATCTTGAGTTGTAATCCTTTTGGTAGGGGCTAAGGTTTGACTTTGTCGAAGGCTTTCGAGAAAACAAACAAAAATTAGTGGATTTTACAGTTCCGATGTTTTTGCAAATTTGGAACAAACTGAAGTAGTGTTGTTGCTGTTTGTTGTAGGCCGTCTACAATGCTGACGGGGGATAAACCCCAATACTCCTCAAGAAATCCATGACGGCGGTTGTATCTGTCTGTAAGAGCTCTAGTATCTGGTCTTCTCCAAGGTTGGCCTTCCGCTCTTCATCCCAGATGCTGCAATGTAGGAGTACGTGCTCTGTATCTTCTTCTCCGTTATTACAGTAGGGGCAGCTTGGGTCATCCACTTGCCCGTGTCTGTGTTTCGTTGCTTGCAGGAATGGCGCCCTGCATTTTGTCGAAGGTGCCCTCCAGTTGCTCTGCGATGGAAGTGATGAACCGGGACTTGGTGTAGGTAGTCTTCTAGGCGTCAGTCGTCCCTGTCCACGTTCAGGGCCTCTCTCGGGTCTCTGCCTTCTTCGATGGTGGCTAGGCGTCCCGGGGCAGTAGATCTCCAGTCCTGGCGTATGTTGTCTTCTCCTCGGGACTTGAGTCTCTGGCATGGTCCTGGGTGACTCAATGCTCGTAGGTGGTGGTCTTCTGGGAACTGGCTGCATCTGATCAGCAGTTTGTTCGCAGAGTCTTCGATTTCTTGTCTGATGGTCGTGAGCGCTATCTCAGCCCTTGTTTGAGCGGCTGGCGAGCCTTTCGGTGCTCCTGTGATGGCCCGGGCTGCCATGTTGTTGCAGGTCTCCAGATGAGCTATGTGGGAGTCTGCTGTGAACGCACCCCACACTTCCGCTGCGTATAAACCGCCGGGTCTGACATAGGCTCTGTAGAGTCTTTTGAGGTCGGTAGCACTCATCCCCCAGTCTCTGCCTGCCAGAGCCTAAGTATCTGGTTTCGCTTGAGGAGCTTCTTGCAGGCTTTCTGGGCGTGATTGCCGAACCTCAGCTGTGAGTCGATGCGGACTCCCAGTATCGTCACTTCTTTCTTGTAGTCTATGTTCCTTTCTAGCAGAATTATCGGTGGCTGGGCTTTGCCAGCTGTTTCGCGAGGATCGAGCGAGACAAAAACTGCTTCTGTCTTCTCGACTGAAATCATCACATGGTGTTCTGCTGCCCATTCGGTGATGACGTTCAGTGCTATCTGTTTGTCGGCTGCCGCTTCGTCGGGAGTGTCTGCTGCCGCGCCAATTGTCAAGTCGTCTGCAAACTGACCGGGGGTAAAACCCAATACTCCTCACGAAGTCTATGACGGCGGTTGTATCTGTCAGGAAACTGAAGTAGTTGAACCCGTAGTCTTCTTCGTTGGAACCCGTATTGGATATCGATTAACAGGGATGCACAGGCTTTTACAATCGCTCGAAAAATGATTTTGGAAATTATGTTAACGGTATAAGTACTCGGTAATTGAAAACTTCTTTGCTATCATCCTTAAATATTGAAAACACATTGCCCATATCGCACTCTGACGGAAATTTCCATAGACGCTGTATAATTTTGATAAGATTTTTTTTGCGACGATGATATAGTATCAGAAATTTTTTTTCTGCAGAATTCGTGGTATTGCATCGTTTCCTCAGCTTTTGCTTGGGTCTACGTTTTGCAATTCCGGTGCGACTGCTTACACTTGTTTTTATTTAATTTCCACATAGCCAAAAAGCTGCCCACAAGGAGGTCCAAAGAAGATGTAATCGTCGTCAGTTACTACAGATGCAAAGTCAGCGCTGAAGAGCTCCGATTTTTCTTCGTCCGATCTTGCTTCACTATTGGTAGCTTCAGACTTTATTACAGGAGATCAGCTGTCCCTCTCTATGCTTTTCAATTACTTGAACATCTTTGCTTGCTCTGCGTGGCGAACAAGGTTCTTTTATTACTATCATCGTCTTTCGTCTGCATTGTTTTGCAAACTTCCAGAAGAAGAGTTAGCTTTCCTTATACTAGGAGTCCTTTCTTTGCAACTTTTCTTCTCTCTGTCTCTTTAGTCGATTTAGATGTTTAGAAGTTTCATTGGTAATCACGGTGGATGGCTTTGTGGTTGTTTGGCTCTTATAGGAGTGTACCTGTCAATCATTTCAGACACCCATTTGTACCGAAGTCATGTGTTGACATCAATATCGCTGTAGCAATAGGGCTGGAAAAGATTTGACATGTCCTCAACCATTTCTTTGTAGCCGCATTTGCAGTAGCTGTAGTATTCCCAGTTCCCTCTCTTCATGATTCTCTCGCTTTAAGTGAGATTTACTGCGATTGACCTTTACGTCAAATGGTAAGCATAAAGGTAAACATAACCAGGAATGCATAACCAGGGATAAACAGACCTTCAAGTCAATTATAAAGAAGAAGAAGAAATGTTAATTAAGTTATAAACACATATAACTTATGAATACATGACACTTAACAAAATTAAAGTTTGTAAAGGTTGCATCTAGTGGCGCGCTGGGGGAAAAAGTTCATGTGTTTTTCTAGTTTCTGATATTGTGCATGTGCCGTTCAGGCGGCTTGTGGAATAGTCTTCACGTTGAGGCACGAGATGGTGTAAAATATGGAAGTTGTTTTTTCCTGCTTGTTGAAGTAGGCTGGAATCCATTCTTTCAATTAGTGAGTCGATAGGATTAAATTTTCTAATGATACCAAGTTTTATTGCCTTTTCTTGAACACGGTCAATGGATTTTAGCGTAGTTATGTTTGCGCAAGCCCAAACTGGTAAGGCATAAGTTATTTGGCTCTCTATTAGATACTCGTAAATATGTTCCAATTCTGATAGTTTCATTCCATAACTTTTGAGTCTTGACAGAAGATAACATGAACTTGATAACTTTTTACACAAATTGTTGATATGTGGCTGGAATGTGAGTTTATAATCGAATGTAACTCCAATTATTTTCATTTCTTCGACATCTTCAACGTTACTCAAGACTGGGGGTGAACATTGAGAGGGCGAGCTGTGTATTGTCATAACTTTTGACTTCTTATCGTTGACGAGAAAATCGTTATCTGAACACCATTGTTTGATATGCTGCATCGCGTTTCTAGAATCATCTTGCGATCCATAAACTGGTTTGATAGTGTAGGAGTCATCAGCAAACTTTATCATTTCAGCCGTATTTACTGGTTCCATATCTAATTCTGACGTAGCGATATTAAACAAGATCGGCCCTAAAAATGTGCCTTGTGGGACACCTTGACTTATGATTGCGGTTCGAGATTTTCGGTTGCATTCGGTAAAAACTAATCTGTTTTTTAGAAAGCTAGCAACCCAATTTATGATAAAAGGGTTTATTTCTGGGGTGACTTGGCTCAATTTTTCTATGACAATGTGGTGTTGGACCCTGTCAAATGCTTTACTGAGGTCAACAGACAAAATTCTCACGGAGTCGGCTTTGGTCTTCTGAAAAGTCGCTGTTTGTTGTTGTAACGAAATCATTGCTGTTGTCGTCGACGCATGTTTTCTAAAACCATGTTGGTTTCTGGGCAGATAGTAGTTGTACTGTTCTGATACGAAGCAATTCATTATCATTCTCTCGAAAAACCGGGAAACAACTGGAGTGATGGAGACTGGGCGGTAGTCGGAAGCTTCTGATGGTTTTTTGCCTTTGGGGATAGGGAAAATTCTAGATCGTTTCATCAGACTGGGAACTATATTTGTTTCTAGAGATCTGTTGAAAATTTTCATGACCGGTTCTGCTAGGGAATGTGCGTTTTCGCTCCATACCCAAAAAAAGTATTTCATTGGGTCCACATGCTGTTTTCCGGATTCTTTTGAGGCCTTCATATATTTGATTCAAGTTGAAATAAGGTGTTTCTTTTTGTGTTTTGTCACTCACGATAGGTTCTCTATAAATTGTGGCTGTACAAATTTCGGCAAAGTAGTCATTCAGTGAATCAGGGTCATCCTTACTACTTTGACCCATATCTTTTCTACCCATTCGTTTATTACCAGTCAGGTTATTCTTGATTTCGTCTTTAACTACCAGTTCTATTGAGTCGATGTTCCTTCCCTTTTTTTTCAACTTGTATTTTTTATTCAAGAGGCACTTGGGTTTAGCTGTCATGAAACTGGGGTCTTTGCCAGAAAGTCGCACTTTTTTCTTGGGACAATAAGCATCTAATAGATCAAGTAGAGTTCTGTGAAGTATGTTGAAAGCTTGTTCAGCATCGCAGTAGTCCAGGTTCTCGAATTTAAGCTTGTCTAATTGCAACCCAAGACACATTCTTTCAGGAGTGCCCGTTTTTCGTATCATATAAAATGTATGTAAACCTGATATAAAATGTATGAAATGTAATAGTATTAAATTTGAATAAATGGCCATTACGTTTCAGTTCGCCACAACTCTGCCAATAAACTGTTTATTGACCCAAAAGAGCATTTGCTAAAGAATCCACAGGACAGAAAGAAATTGCTTTCCCTTGCCAGTTCACCAGAGCCTGATAGTGAAGTTGCTGAACACGTTGATTCAAATCAAACGCATAACCCGGCAGAAAGCATTCCCAGAACGAACAACCCAGAGCATAACAAAACTGAACAAGATACAAATCAGGAGGCCAATGATAAAAACGAACCGAACGTGCCAGTGAGACGGAAGAACAATGTAGACGTTGAAGTTCACACTCAAGTAGGTCACATGTTTAACTTCCACGAAAATTGGAGGTAGTACTGAAAAACCATTTCAAATTCAAATTTTTGTAAGTATTTTATTTGTATTTGAGATTTTGTATTTATCCAGGAATCTCCAGCGGATCGAAAAACCACGACTACAAAACTATCAGCTACCAATCTAAAAGATACCTCTCAAATAGTAGAACGAATGGAAAACTTGGAGAACAAACTAGTTGCATCCATACAGAAGCAGGGAACTAATCTGCGAAAAATGAAGCAAGACCTTTTCGAGTTGAAACGAGAGATAGCTATGATGAGGAAGCATAACTACACAATGGCACGAGATGTAGACGATTTACAGCTTCATGAACTAAGAGAAGAGGTTGTGAACTTGGCAGAGCAGCAACATTTAATCCAGGAAGCCGTCTTGAAGGATCACGTAAATTCAATAATGCAATATCTATGCTTCCTCATCAAAAAAATATAACTATTAAAAAACAAAAAAAACTTTGAGCTTTACAGGAAAATGTTAAAGATTACGTATATTATTATGTAATTACATTAATTAGAGTTGTATAATTTGGATTGGCCAGAAATTTTAAAGCAGTTTGTAAACATGTTTGTCACTTTTTAGAGCTCTTTAATCATTTTGTGAAAAATGTTAATGCTGATGATGCACAAAATGTGCGAAAACGTTTAGTAGTAGTAGTTGTTTCCACATGATGGTCCTTGCCCCTTCATTGGATCGCTATGTCATAGTTTTGCTGCGGCAGTTTTCACCGCACAGCCACAGCCATTAACATTTAAAATACACCAACAGTTGCAATTAACATTTTCATATAATTCAGAAAAATCTACCAAAAAATAAACATTTTTATGACGTATGATAATAAACAGGCCAAGCATCTTTTGTATTTCAGATCATTCAACAGAACTTCTACCATATGTCAACTATCAACCATCTTGACCAAATGAGCGCTTTAAGAGCAAAGCACGACCCGAACACAGAAGAAGGTTTTGTACTTGAAGAAAACATTGCAGGCCAAACATATTGGATGCAGAAACTTGTCACTCAGTCAAAGAATCTTGATTACTTCAGTCAACCATATTCTAATGGAGTACCGCACAGATCCATCGCACCAAACAAAAAGTACATGGCACTTTTCAACTAATTTTTTCAATTATCTCTAATTTATGAAATTTGAAGGGTTTTTTGACTGGGTGAAATGATGTAGATACTTCGTTTACCATGAGAATTTCTGACCTTTTGATTTACTGAAGAAAGTAGAGAAGTTTCCAAACAAAATATACCAGTAATTAATTGTTTTCAGAGATGAGGAGCTCGGATAAGGTAACTTTCAGAAGCTGTCAATTGCCAGCGGCTACATGAACTCGCAGTAAAACATTTGGACTCTTTGCTTTTTTTCCCCACCTGCAAATTTTTCAATTTGAAATTACTGTTCACTTTGTCCAATTGTCATGAAAATTGACATACAGACTGATTAAGCCATAACAAACATATTTGGTCTTCATAATGAACCTTGTAAAACCACTCGTTAGACTATAAAATTCATGTTTGTGTGAGGTGGGGGTGGGAAAGGAAAAAGAGCCAACATTTGTTATCCTAACTTTAGAGCTAGAAGATAAATTGGTATACAAAAAATGACACTTTAATTAAATATCAAAAATATTCAATTAAGCTAGCGTTTAAGCTGGTGGCATTTTTGCAATAAGAAGCATGAAATAGCAGTGCAAGCTAGCAGACAGGAACAGAAAAAAATTAAGCCCAAAAAATGAAAAGAACTACCTCTACAATAAAATACACAGCGGCAAAGCTCAGCTTCGCACCACTTACGATGATGAGAAACGGTGAATTAACCATCAGTATAAGGTATAGAGAAATATTGACAATGTACAATCTATGCTGGAATCTTAGCCTAATTGTTGTGATAAACGTATCAAATAGTCTTTCTTTGTTCAAATTTACTGCTTGTGTGTTTTCATATCATAAGCGCGCTGGACTTTCCTCTTCTCGTTATCTTACCAAATCTCGACGTCCCAGCCGTTGGCGATTGAACTTTCCCTGGCGTAACTGGACGCAAGAAGGAGTGAGCTGGTGAATCGACCTCCAAATCGACGTCAGGTTGTACCACTCCTTTCTTTTCTTTTTTATCGCATTTCCCTCGGCAATTTTAAACCCTAAGTGAAAAGTATTCATAAATCACCCCAAAGAGCTTCCTTTCTCGCCCCAGTTGTCTGTGTTTCCGGTTGATGCCGCGATTCCAGGCAAGACGCATCCCTGTGTTCTCACAGAAACTAATTATTGGGACTTCAAGGACCAAATATATCAAACCAGCTCTAGTAAAAACAACAATTCATTTCTACCGCGGCGCAGCGCTTCGTGATTTGTTTAAAACAGTTTCGCAATACAGACCAAAGCTCCTAAATTCAGTAACAATAGTTGCTGGATACAATGACAACAGGCTGTATCCAAAAGAATTAGAAGCAGTGGAAAAACTTGGTTAACCTTGTCACTAACCAGTTTCAGCCCAAGACACTGATCATCCCCAAAACGATTCAGAACTGTAATAATTCCGAAGTAAAACCGCAAAACTTATATTCAAAATCATGTGCTGTTTAATTTGATAAATAGATTTGTACACCCCCATACACTTATTGTTTCACCCAATCTGAACCTAAATCTAACCCCTAAAATGTTCTGCAGTGATGGTATCCATTTCTCGTTCTACGGTAATGATTTATTTACAAACTTTCTTTCAAATTTAATCTATAAATTCTCTCGCTAACTTGACATCGCCGTCCTTCCTAAAATGGCTACTCAAACACACTGCCTTATTTGTAAATACAGCCTGCGTGGCGTAGGTGTTTGGTGCTTCACATGCCCAGGCTACATGCATGTAAAATACAACGGCCTAGCCCGCAGCAGTGATCACTATGACGATTTCAGTTGCCATCGCTGCACCTCCCAATTTCATTCAGCTAACGACAAGCATGAATGCAATCCCCCAACCCTAGCTACAACCACGCTCCCTCAAATGCACCCTCACCCTTCCACTGCCCCACGCTCACAAAACTCAGGAAAGTCTTCCACTATGTGCCAGTCGGTCATATTTGGAAGTTTGACCTTGAGAAAAGCAAAAAACACTTGATTTTGGAGTGAAATTTAATTTTTCAAAATTTCGAATGGAGCCTGTCATGCACGATTTTCTCGCGATAACTGAAAGTCAAAAAAGAGAAGTCAGAAAAATCGAGTGACAATCGCGGGAAAGTTGCAAGAAAAATCAGTAGGAAATTGCTATTCGCAATTTCCGTCACAATAATAATCTAGAGTAGAGCTGTCCTATTTGAAATAGAAGACAGAGTGTTCCTGAGAACTGGACAATTATCCAACTGGTCAACTATTCGAACTGGACCAGAGTGAACCTTCGGTGGAAAGGTGGACAGCTTGAGTGTCCCAATGGTTCACATAAAACTACATTCTAGAGTACAAACTTGTTCCTGTTGTTGAAACTGACAAACATTAAACATATTTAGTTACATTATTTAATTCTTGAGTTGCTTACCGACTTAATTACTCCCAATTCTTGAGCGTGCTACAATGTGAGTACCAATTTAAATTTCTAGAGTGTGTTTTATAATTGTTATGTTGAGGTAAGGCGAGTTTTAGGTTGATCCATCTGAAATGGATCAAAGTTCCACTGTCTAATAAAAAGTAACTTAACGGATTGTTCCGACCCGGTTTTTAACGGCGTTCATGTATTTTGGGTATCTAGAGACCTAAGTATGGGGACGCTATTATTTCTAGAGTGGGGGGGATATCTTGGTAGTAGCCTTTAAGCGGTAACGGGTCGTAGTCTCATGTCACAAGCGAAAGGAATTGGCTCCGACTGGTTTGAGGTGGAAAAACACAAGAGATAGTGTCCCTGACTCTTGAGCCAATGGTTATAGGGCCTATTTTTCTTAAGCCTCATGTGTGACTGCAGTAGATGAATGTTACATAGTGTTTTTATGGCGCTCCTGGGTGTTTACGACATCAAGACTACGGAGTCGAACCCACTTGAGACAGCTTCGGGCTACATGCCCATTCTAGAGTACCGGCGGTACGGTTCGACAGGAACGTGCAAACCTTCCGGTTGTACCGTGATAGCTTTTTAAGAAAACTCGAGAAAACTTCCTGGTACGCTCTCCGAACGAGGCTTAGCTAACCGAGTAAAGGGGGGCAACTAGGGGGACAAAAACACGAGCAAAAAGACAAAAAGCAAAACAAAAAACCAAAAAAGAATAGAAAAAGGAACAAAAACCATAAAACGAAAAAAGACAGTGACTTTGACACCAAATCAGTTGGATCAAACCTTTATATTAAATAAATAGTATACCCATACTGTTTTACAAGTTCGATCGTTTCGATCAACCTAGCAACTTAACTCAGTAACCTTAATAAAGTGCCCGAGTGTGGGGCGTTGTCAAGGGTTTTCAGATAGCTTGGAACTTAGCTGGACCAATAGGAGACTTGACTGGAAGAGCTGACCAGCCGAGTGGGAAAGTGGTTCAGGAGCACTTGAGCTGAACCAATAGGAGACTTGACTGGAACAGGTGACCAGCCGAGTGGGAAAGTGGTTCAGGAGCACTTGAGCTGAACCAATAGGAGACTGGACTGGAAGAGGTGGCCAGTCGAGTGGGAAAGTAGCAAAGAAGGATTTGGGCAGTTCTAGAGAATTATCAAGTTGGGCAGAACGGGTATCGTTAAAATCCACATTACTTCATAGGAGATAAGTGTAAAATTGGATAAGCGAAATCCCCCGGTTTTGAGGAACGTTTTTACTTAAGCAGGCCTGGAAACAGGTCTACGGTTTTCTCTTGAGAGGTTTAGCACCCGGCGCTTAAGGTAATTTTTAGGCTTAAGAAGGGGGGCTAAAAAGGGGGGAGGTTAGAAGGGGGGCTGGTTAGGTTAGAGGTTGGCGGTTGTAAATTGTAAAAAGGGGGGAAATTAGAGTAACTAATTAGTCGACATCGTTGATTTAGTTACATTAGTCATTAACACGCGTTGGTAATAATAGGTGGATATCGAATTTTAAACTCGAGTTAAGGAAGGTACCCTGGTCGGATTGGTAGGGGGGACGGACATAGACAATTCTGGTGATACCCAATAAGATTATTAGTTGGGGGGAGGAAAATGCGTGGCAATTAAGTACCAGACTTTTTTTTTCGACAAAAGGTAGACATTGGTCACCTTTGAATTTTAGGTGGGTTCTTCTTTCTGTTTTTATTACTTTTTCTAGCTTGGATTTTTTGTTGCGTTTTGAGGATTTGTGCTTAGTTTTTACACGAACAGGTGATCACAAGATACCTGCGCACATGTTTTGGTTTCAAGTTGTTTGGAACACTGAAATAAAGGGAACTAAAAAGAAATAAGAAAAAGGGGGGTCAGCATTTGGCTTTTAAGAGAGGGTTTTTGGGAAAATTTTACTAGAGCTTAAGTGGTGGTACAAGGTACAGTGAATCAAGAAGTCCCCATAACGAAGAAGAAAGAGGTCCCACCGCTCAGAAACTTGTCAACAGTCTTGGGACAGTGCCAAAGAAGTCTTGGGACAGAGCAGTCTGGGGACAGTCTTGGGACAGTGCAGTCCTGGGACAGTGTTGGACCAGAACAGTCTTGATACAGTCTTGGGACAGTACGGTCTTGGGACAGTGGTCTTGGGACAGTGGTCTTAGGACAGTGGTCTTGGGACAGTGGTCTTGGGACAGTGGTCTTGGGACAGTGGTCTTGGGACAGTACGGTCTTGGGACAGTGGTCTTGGGACAGTGGTCTTGGGACAGTGGTCTTGGGACAGTGGTCTTGGGACAGTGGTCTTGGGACAGTGGTCTTGGGACAGTGGTCTTGGGACAGTGGTCTTGGGACAGTGGTCTTGGGACAGTGGTCTTGGGACAGGGGTCTTGGGACAGTGGTCTTGGGACAGTGGTCTTGGGACAGTGGTCTTGGGACAGTGGTCTTGGGACAGTGGTCTTGGGACAGTAGTCTTGGGACAGTGGTCTTGGGACAGTGGTCTTGGGACAAGGGTCTTGGGACAGTGGTCTTGGGACAAGGGTCTTGGGACACTGACGGAAAGTACTGGGACAGTACCGAACACTCTTGGGACAGTAGAAAGAAGCCCGGGACGGTACAAAGAAGAGTAGGGACGGTAATTGGAAGTCTTGGGACGGTAAAAAAATTGAAGTAAAATTACAATAAGTGTTTTAAGACAGAATTAAGACAGAACAAGACTAGTCGGAACCAGGTACGGTTGAGACCACAAATAAAGAAAGTTTCTCGAAAAGTTTTGAAAGAGAACTGGAACAAGGTTTTTATCACGTTGTATATTTCCTTTTAATAATTTTATTCTAACAGAAAATTTTAATAACAGAAGATTTTATTCTTAGACTAGAATTGTGTATATAATAATATTGTAAATAAGAGCAATTGTAAATAGAAATAATGAGACGGAGTAGGGTACCGGTACTAGAAAAAAGGTCAAGTTGATCAAACACGAAATATAACTCGTCGCTGCGCGGAACGACATCAATGGGCCCAAGCAAAACAAAAGATAACTTTTCAGTTAGCATGGTCAGCACGAGGAGTAGTACCGAGAACAAGACGCGAGAAGGTACTAAAGATAAACAGGTGGAGCCCACAATTGAAATCGATCTAGAGACACCAGACCATAGCGTAGATGAAGTGGAGAAGAAGACAACGGAATCCACACCGATGCCCCATATGGAAGATCAAAATCCAAAAACCGTGGAGTTTTCGCCGATAGACGCGTTGGAAGACACAACAAGCAATACCCGAGAAACGGTGAAAGACGACTCTCAAGTAAAGAAAACATCTTTTACAGAAAAGTTGGCGATGATGGTCGGAATGAAATCGAAGGACAACACGGCCGAAGAATCAAAAAAGAAGGACAACACGGCCGAACTGAAAGAGCACGAACATTTGGGACAGTGAGCGCGAAGACGACAGAAGCTGACCTAAAGGAAGAACAAGCCAGAACGGAAGCGACAGCCGAAAACAAGACAACGGCTGATCATGAAACAGCTACTCTTGAGCTTGGCGACCTGATGACAAAACTAAATCAGATCGACAAAAAACTAAAGTACAGTGAGGAAGATAGAGACTTAATAAGGAAAGAGTTAAAATACAACAAACACGAGTATCTGGATAGTTATTTTAACCTGGCTAAGGCGACAGACGAGAGACTCCAGCAGATGTCGGACAAGGTAGATGCCACCAATGAAGAACGAGATAAGAACATCAAAAAAGATATGCAACAGTTGAAAAACCGATATGATGATGTCAACAGCCAATTAGGTAGCCTGGAAAAGAGAATGGAAATAATGAACAGGAATCAGGCCGAAAGTTCGTGAGCAATACAGGCGAAATTGGATGCAATCTTGAGAAATTCTACCTCACAAGAAAGACCGGCAGCGGATCGCACGCAAGGCACCAGAGTTGACTTTGTGGAACCACAAAGGAACAAACGGCAATCGACACCGTTGCCTTTAAACCGGGATGCGGTAAGCATAGCACCAACGGCTGCTAAAACAATCATGAAAAATGGAGCATCAAACACAATGAGTGGCCCGGGGGACTCAACAGCT